AATAATAATAATAATAATACATCAGTTTTATATAGCGCTTTTCAAGAACTCAAAGACGCTTCACAAATTCCTGACACAAACACACACGTTTAGACAGACACACAAACTAAAAATCTAAGAGTGAGGAAGAAGGGTAGAGAGTTTAAACTAAGAGTCAAATGCTCGGAGGAAAAGGTGAGTTTTGAGCTGTTTTTTGAAGGAGTTTAGAGTCCGAGTTTCTGAGATGGAGGGGGAGGGAGTTCCAGAGAGTGGGAGCAGAGATGGCGAAAGCTCGGTCCCCCAAGGTTCGGTGCTTGGATTTGACAGTGGGAGTGAGGAGATAAGAGTCTGCAGATCGGAGTCGGCGGGAGGGACTGTAGGGCTGTAGAAGTTCAGTGAGGTAAGGAGGAGCGAGGTTATGGAGGGCTTTGTAGGTGATGAGGAGGATTTTGAAATGGATGCGCTGTTTAACGGGGAGCCAGTGAAGTTTTTGAAGGACAGGGGTGATGTGCTCTCTGGAGCGGGTCTGAGTGAGGAGGTGGGCGGCGGAGTTTTGGACATATTGTAGTTTTTGGAGATCAGATGAAGGAAGGCCATATAAAAGACTGTGGGCAAGCACTGTTATGAGTGCTTGCCCACATACAGGGTTGTATACAGACAAAACACTGGTAACTCATGTTTAGATTTTGTATACTTTGTACATACTTTTGTAAAAAGGTACATCATTCCAAACATTACAGCAAACCTACGAGAATAACGCAGTAATCAGGACTTTTCTTGTTGCTCTTGGTTTTGAACAACAATCATCAAAAGTTGAGACAATTGTAATTAAAATGGCATGTGTCCAGTGCTGTGTTGTCTGCTGCGCTCCACTGAGCTGGTATTTGCTTCATCAGCTGGTCCTACAGCTGCTGAGCTCTCCTGAAAACATCACCATGGAACATTCCGTAGGACTGAAGGTTACTCTCTAAACTCTATTAAACGTATCCAAAAGTCCGCCTCCCATCCTGATTGCATTGGTTTGGTGGAGTGTCCCTCAGTATGATGTTCCCTTGCTCTCTCTGCTTTTATGACTTGTAACTTGGGCTAGTGAAGCCTCTTGCTTGTCTCCAAATTTGTGGAATCTGAAATACCCTCCCGTGGAACCATCTTGGCAAAACAAGATTCAGATTGGACTCTAGCCAAAGGGTTATTTATTGCATCTGTTATCAAGGCAAGGCAAAAGTAGACAATTTAATTTTGTGTCGGTTATTGTGCACCATCAAGTCTCAAGCCTGTATCAAATCACGTTTATCACATTTTATACATTTTTTGCATGAACGTTAACACAAACATGACCCCTTTTTAGCGCATGTGGATGAGGTTTGTCAGCCCCCTTTGTTGGTAAAGCCATCCATTCTTCTGGGCAAAAATCCAGAGATCCAGAACAGACATCCCCCCCCCCCCAGAGCAGCTTCACAGTCCACATCATCACATAAAAAACCAAAAACACCAGTAAAAACACAATTGAAATCACACAAGGTATTTTGAGATAATAAATAAAAACAATACATTAAAAAGAGTTGAAGAGATAAAGCCCTTCAGTTGTATGCACAGGCAAACAGAACAGTCTTTAACCTGTATTGTCAGAGAAAAAGCCTGTCTCACATTTTTAGGAGGACTGAACCAGATTTTAGCTGCATGAATCTGAAACCAGTACCAAATACCAGTACACAACCGCTAATGATGACAGTTTCTAGCACAACTGTAGATTGTAGCAGACTAAACCATTACTGTGGAAGAATCCGTCGGGAGCAGTTTGTGTAAAGCCTCTTGGATGTGAAGAACGCATTTTTCCTGAGGTGGCATGTTATTGGCCTGTTCTACTGACATACCGATCTTATCGTTATCACCACTGCTCTTTCATCTGCATTGTTTACTTAGCTACTCAGACTTTCCCATGGGTCGTCCTGTTTTACGTCATGACAGGTTTTTCTCTTAGATCAATTTGTCCATACATGCTTACATCTCTCTGAGCTGTTTTGGTGAATTTAATTTAATTTAAGAGATCCCACAGAGAGGAAACAGTAGGAATGAGGAGCATACAGCACAAGATAAATGAAATAATGCTAGAAATTTTTATTTTATTTTAAGAGATCCTTTATTTGTCCCACGGTGGGGACGTTTCGGAAGGCATGAAGAAGAAACAAGTATAAAATCTCCATCTTTTGCATAATGAGTAAAAAAACTCTGACTTTAGCATCATAAAGTCAGAGTTTTGTTTGTTTGTTTTGTTATTTTTATTTCTATGGAATTATACAGGTGCAAAGGTAAGATCTCAAGTGGAGGAGTTAAAGTATTTCTGCGTCTTGTTCTTGAGTGAGGGAAGAATATATTGTGAGATTAGTGCAGCATGTGCAGTGAAGGGGTCACTGAACCGGACTGTTGTGGTGTTGCCGTTCAACGGTCAATCAACGTCCCCTAAAACGTACTGGTTCTTTTTAAAAAGGATTAAACCATACTGGTTATGGTTTCAGATTTATGCAGCTATAATTTGGTCCAGGTTAAAGACGGTTCTCTTTGCCTGTGCATAAAACTGAAGCGTTTCATCTCTACTCTTTTTAATGCATTGTTTTTATTTATTATCTTAATCCCTCGTGTGATTTTAATGTTTTTAATTACCTTTGTGATTTTAATGTTTTTAATTACCTTTGTGATTTTAATGTTTTTAATTACCTTTGTGATTTTAATGTTTTTAATTACCTTTGTGATTTTAATGTTTTTAATTACCTTTGTGATTTTAATGTTTTTAATTGTGTTTTTGGTGTTTTATGTGATGATTTGTGCCTTGTGTGATGAGGACTGTGTGGGAAAGGCATTCTACAAATAAAAAAGGTCCTTTTCGTCCCACAACGGGGAAATTTCAGTTAGAGATATACACATATACACATACATAAATATACACATACACATACATAAATATACACATACATAAATATACACATGCATAAATATACACATACACGTATACATATACACAACAAGGCAAGCAGCGTACATCACTTCCGCGCTCCTTATAGGCAAAGTGGGGTTAAGTGTCTTGCCCAAGGACACAACGACAGCAGACATCAGTGGGAGTCGGTGGATAGATTGATTGATACTGGTAAATGACTAACTCTTACTGGTACGTTTTAATGTGTTTATAGCTCATCTTTTGAATCTGTGGCTATGTTTCATGATGATGATGATTTAAAAAAAAAGAGAGCAAATGACTATTTCATTGAACTTGAGTTTTGGTAATCTTTTTCTTCTTTTTTTTTCTCTTTGAACAAATGATTATAGTTTAGCTTGTATGAACCAAAACTGGACCCAAGGTACTGAAGGGTGGTTATAAGATGAGATAAGATAAACTTTAACTATCTCACAATGGGGCAATGTACTTGTCACATTTGGCACCGGTAGAATCACTCAGATTGTGCAAAAAGACAGATGTTTCAATGTTTAGTTAGTTTGTTTGAGAATGTTGTGCTTTTAAATTAGGTTTAACACGCCATGGAGTATGTATTAAGTTGCAAGAGACTATATTAAATATATAATTTAAACAATAATACTACTTCAAACATCCATGATTTTTGATTTTCTTCTTTTACATGTTCTCAGCACAAAGGTTGTTTTGAAGTGGCCTGTTGTCGTGTGGAAAAGGCTGCTGTGTGCAGACGGTCCAGAGCCGTGATCACATTAACTTCATGTTTATTAAGTTAAGGCTCCGTACACAGAAATGACACGCTGCACAATCGCACGTCCCACTGAGGGAACAGACCAATCCTGCTAAACGCGCTTACAAACGCCAGAGGCAATAAACTGGTGATGACAATATTCTTATTCATACGTTATTTGCAGGTTGGATTAGAAGGATCACTCTATTTATTACTAACTATTGTTCATTTCACATTATTTGCATGATTTTTAAATGACCAATCTGTTTGTAGTTTTTCCCATATACAAATGTTGAATGTTTTAACTACAAATACAAAACCTAAACAAATCTAAACCTCTGTTTCTAATGAGTCCTCAGTATGAAGAGCTCCCACATGCGGCTGCGCCAATGGCTGAAATCACTATTAGATTAGATTCAATTTGGAAAATGAGAAAGAAGGAAATTACTGGAGGCCACTGCTCAGTTGCACTCATAAATACAAAAAATAATCTTGAGCATATTATGATTGTAATATTTACTTAGTTATTGAAGCTGTGAAGTGGTAGAGAAAGAAAAATCTGATTTGATCAATAAATCTACATTATTATAAGAGGTACTGTATGTTTTTCAAACTTTAAAAGCCGCTAAAGTAAAATGTGCTTTTTCAGCTAAAACCACAGCGCTGTGGATAGTTATCGGAGTAATGGTTGTGATTTATTTGTTTTTCTGTTGTTCCTTTGACATTTAATACAGGGTATGACCCTATTTTATGAATGAAGATCAAATGCCCTACAATGATATTGTACTGTATTTTGTCGTTGTCTTTAGTTTAGTTTAGAGTTCCTAATGTCTGTTTTTAAAGAATCAATACTTTGCTTGGAAAGAACCATGCATCTAGTCTGGGAATAGCCATGCTGCTTTGCACTTCAATCATTTGTGGAACTCATTCTGCTCGGAGCAGAAGTTTTACTTTTCAGTCAAGGTCTCAATCGTTTTCTTTTGTAGAAAGATTGGGGAAAAAAAGACGAGCTTTAAAAACAATAAAACATTTTTGGTGACCATAATTATACTTCTCTATTTTGAACAACTTTTTAACTTGACCAACTCAAGACGTTTGGCTGTAATGTATAATGGCATTTCAAATGGATTACTCACACTTTTCTGGATCTTTTTTGAGCTTTTACTAAAATAAAAGCACATCATTATTGTCTCACTTTGAGGTAAATGTTGTTTTGAGGGGTTGCCATGGGACTAAACGGGCCGACAAAAGGACACACTGGTCACAAATTATGGGGTCTTCATCTAACAATTTCTGTTCTTATTTCTCAGTTTACTGTCTGCAGTCATGTCCTCTGAGGCTCCGCGACCACTCACCCCCCCTCCACTCAAGTCTCCGGGATCACCCTGCTCTCCGGGTGAGTACGTTTACTCAGGCAAAGGAATACGGAGTACATAAAAAGAAACTGATGCTATTTGGCTACAAGTCTGACCAGTTTAAGGGTCTTTCTCTGTGGACCCTACAAAGCTGGAGGCTTGTGATGCTTTCAAAGGCGCCTCGTAACTTTCCGTAGCGCTCAAACTTTGGAACAGTCATTGTAATTAAAATTGCTTTCACATACACATTTATACACGTTTTTGGCAAAACTCTTTACTTTGTGCATTTGATATTTGCACATCTTCAACAGCAGCAACAAAAGTTATTCAAATTCCACAGCGCAATGAACGCACTGTATTTTTTGCTCATTGTGCATGTATGCAACCAAAACAAAGCACACAGTGAGTTGCTGTGTTGTTGTGATGTCTACAAAAACACTTTATGCATGGTTTTTTCCTGTGCTCTTTAAGGCATCTCCTGGTCCTGTCTCGGTAGTATCCGGTTCAAATGCTTACAGTGAATACGCAGTTTGGGAGTGATGTGGTTCGAGTGCTTTGTTGGCACTTATATTAAGCTCAATTCCCCCAGAAAAAATAATAATATAATTGTACAGCATTGTTTAAAAACATTGTCATTAATCAAATTTTCTGAATCGTAGGCCAATAATGTACTTTTTATGATGATTTTGACCAAGTACTCATCAATATAGACACCAGGAAGCTGCAGTATCAGAGCTTTTGGCGGTTTATAATTCCATAGGATCTGTTTGCAATACATGAACATCAACAAAACATCATAGATCAAATGTATTAGATTAGATTTGACAGAAAATGACATGTGTAACCGTGCTGTGTTGTTGTCAGAGCTGCTGCGGCCTCCAGCCTGCAGACACAGAGAGCGCTCGCCATCTCCGATGAGAGGCCTCATCCCCAGCCCGCTGCCCACGCGCCGCAACAGGACCTGCTCTGCGTAAGAGCCACTCCATCAGGCACATGACCACCGCAAACACACTGCTTTAGACCAACATTAGGGAAACTGCTCAATAAACTAATCATGCACAATGTATGTCTTTATTTCGGACACATTTGGTCCGTGGACACTAAGTCTCCCAGAATTCTGAATAGATTTTTCCAGAATTCAAACCAATTGAATTCTGGAAAAATCTCCCAAATCACGTTGAGTTTTACAAATGGTTAGTAAATTAAAATATTTGTTTTAACCTTATATTTGATGCTAAAACTGGTGAATTACAGCCAAGTTTGTTGAAAGGCTAATGCTAAAGACCAAACGCTAACTGCTGCTAGTAAACAAGTGTGTTACTATGGTAACTAGTACTGGCTTCTCACTGATGGAAAACAAAACTGGACCAGAACCAGTGCAGAACCAGAACCTTGATAAGATGGTTTAGCTGCCATAGGAGGATACCAAGCAACCAAAAATTATACATCTGAATTTGAGTTAAAGGCAGAACATTTTAAGAAAAAGTGACGTATTGAAACAGTAAAAGTCACAAGGTTATGAAGACCAAGAGATGAGTAGTTAGTTACACTTCTGAAACTAAAAGCCATCAAATTGACTGCTCAGTTCTAGTGTAACAGGGAACAAATAAGAGCTGGAAGACTTTTCAGTACAAGCACAGACCCAGAGCACAATCCACATAAAGAATAAAACAATGGTTTGACTGATCAGTGAGGTGGTTGCTCATGGTGTCGCTGGAGCCTGCTGTGTGTTGGACCATGGTCCTCTGCATGACTGGTCTACTGCTGTGGAGGCTGCTTCTTGTGACTGGAGCTGGCTTGAGTTTGGGCGCTGGGCCTTGCTGGGGCACAGTGATCATTGTTACAGATGTATCTTTATTGAAGTATTAAATCGCACTGAACATGGCAAATTATCATTAAGGTATTATTTATTCAATGCTAAACAACAACATTCTTGCACGTATTTGAATTATGTTTATGGGGTGGGAGTCGACAAGTTTTTACTTCTTTCCCACTCCATTTTGAGCTGAAAAATTGTAAATAGAGGTTCATTTGTAATACATATTGATATTGTAGATATACATCACATGGTGAAACTAGGGCATCTATTGCTTGATTATATAGTTATGTTTATGTGTTTCCATGTATACGTGTGTACTGTAGGCACAGCGGGCAACATGTATAAAGAATCATGTAAACTAAGGAATGTAATTATTTTAGATACTGTAAAATTTCTGCTCGAATGAATAAAATCAATCACATATCCAATCACATCTGAGCTTAGCAAACCCTCGGCAGCATCCGCATGCCATCATTAAAGGACACATTCAGTCTATGCATGCTTCTCTTTTTATAGTGTCTCCACTCATGGGCTGGGTACATAGGGGTTACAGAATGCTTCAAAAACTGCCCCAAACATTTGGACCAGCATTTGGGCCATAGTTGGTTTGGTGTCATAATATTGCCTCTACTGACCTGTATAATGACAATGTCCCAGATAGTTTGAACATAACAGAAGAATAAATCGGTTGCCAGATAAGAGTCAGGAAAATACAGTTTAGAGTCTGTCCTTGCTTCACACAATCATAATAACTTTTTTTTTTACCGTCGTATCTTGTGTCAAAGTCATATCTATACTGGGAGCAAACCTGATGTAGCTCTTGTAATCCAGCAATGTATGGACAGAAACTTACCAAAACAACATTCTTTAAATGTGGTATGTTTTTTTTTTTTTTTTTTTTTTACCAACTCTTCATCCTGTTCTACATCTTTTCATATATTGACAGATTGTCCATATACACATGTTACAAGTTCAGTTCAATAGGTTTTTTAAAACTCATAACAAAAGGGAAACAGTATTCGGCTCAAATTCTTGTCCCTTAAATCTGTTTTTCACTAATAAAAAAAAATAAAAAAAATATGTGTGGTTTTTTTGGGTTTTTTAACCCCTAGTTTTTTTTTTATTATAGGCCTTTACCAAAAGATTGAGGTGCAATTTGAAAAAAAACCAAATGATAGAGAGCCTCCAATGAGGTAGATTTCAGTCCCAAGCTTCAAGTAGATATAGTGACTCAAAATGTGATCCACCAAATGTTTGAAGAAACCAATTAAATATGACTAAATATTACAAAATTGCCAAAAAATCTAACATTGTCTGTGTGTGCTCCCACCCCTCCCTCTGTTACAGGTCAGCCCGGGCAGCCGAGGGCCCCATGTTTCGTGGGGTGTGTAAATGCTTCTCCCGCTCCAAAGGCCATGGCTTCATCACGCCATCGGATGGTGGCAAAGACATCTTTGTCCACATCTCTGAGTGAGTTTTTCCACTCTGCTTGTTGCTTGTCAAGTGATTAGCAGTTTGATTTTATAATTATAAGTGGAGAGGCCTGGACTCAGCATCAAAGAATATAAAAGGCTAATTACGCTTCTATTACACAATTATATACACATTAGAGTGCTAAGAACTCATTAGGTTAAGACGCCATGGACTTACTCTTAAAAAGCATGCTCAATCAGATACAAAGGCTGCAGGAGAGAGTAGGAGGACTGAATTATGTTCTGACCTTAAGCGAGGTGCCATTGTTTTCTCCCACTGGGGTTAAAACATACTGAGCACAATCATGAACACACCCACACAGTTGAGTCCAGTACTCCACAATCAAAATGTTTACCTATTGGTTAATTCCAGCTATGTTTCATATATGGGGGCTGGATGCTCATCTTTTTGAACATGTTTCTATGTTTGTTCTTTGCTCTTATTTATCTTCTTGGACTGTGCCATCATTTATTTTAATATATGGCAGTAGGTCTGTACTGTATTCAAAAAATGTTATTTTTGCACAATGATTGTCCATAGGTGAGAAATCTGACTACATTATTAAATGAATACTCAACTCTTGATTCTAATGCCAAACATATAACTGCTGTTTTAGTATTTAGTCATAAGTCCAGGCAAAATACACATTTCTAAAATGGTTAATTGAAAGAAATAAAAAAATATCTAAAACGGCTGTTAAGATTTTTTTTCACCATAAATGTCCAGGTCTCCAGAGCAGCATACTAAGAGTCCCTTGTTGGGAATGTGTGCTGATTTGGTTAGACTATGAACCATGCAGCCCAGTCGGCTTATTTATTGAATTACACAGTGATCACCCGCGTTTCACTGCGGGCAACATAACTCAAAATGTTATGAGAGGATTTGGACAATATATTCAGGAAATGTGTGCAATGGCCCAGTGAACTATTTGTAAAAATGTGATTAATGTTTGGAGGTGATTTGTCTTGATGCAGGATTTTTATTAAAGTAATGTCTACTTTCAACATATTAGATTTCATTGTGAGAGAAGTTGGAGATAGTAAATAATCTTATTCAGGTGTAGCTGTCTCGATTTGATGAAAATGAAACTTATTTTGCCAACTAGGATGTTTCACTTTTTGTATGTTCTGGACACCTCCATAGAGAGAATTCATGGTGAGGGGATAATAAAATTTGTTCCCTCTTTTGGCCCAAAATTGGTTAATTATCATTCTTTGTTGGAAATGTCATCCCTCTAGTCTAGTGCATAGTAACCCATTTCTCTGTGTGATATTTGTCTTGCAGCATCGATGGCGAGTATGTCCCAGTGGAGGGTGACGAGGTGAGCTACAAAATGTGCACCATTCCTCCCAAAAACGAGAAGGTCCAGGCTGTGGAGGTCACCATCACCCATCTGAAACCAGGGAGCAAGCACGAGACCTGGAGTGGCCATGTCATCAGCCAATGAACAAGCATGGAAGTGGACCCCGGGATGAATCGAACATGTCTGTTCTCATTGGATCAGAGTTACAACTGTTTGAAACAAGCTGTAGACATATACTTGGACTCATAACTTAGTGTGGATGAGTGAATTTCATAATGAGAAATGATTTGATTATAGCTACAATGTATTGGCTGGGTGAAGCAGCGTTTAACTTGTGAAAGCTCGGATGAGTGCACAGCCCATTCCTCAAAGGTGTTGTATGTGTATATGCTGACAATATCCAGTGCCTACACCGAACCAATTATGCCCCATCTGTAGCTTAAATGATCTTGTGTGAGTTGTTTGTGACTGTGAGTGAAATAAAGCATTTACAAGTGGCATACGTATCTTTCTCTGTACATTTTCAGTATTAATAGCATTATTTGTTGCTTTTTAGTAAATATGGAGGCAGCAGTGTGAAAAACTAGATTGGAAAATGACCAAGGATTCGTTTTGGAACTGCTGCCATCTTCTGTTTTGTTCTCGTTACTACAGTCTGTAAATTACCAACGACAAAAATAATATGATTCAGTTTGGGATTTGTTAATATCCCCACAGTTGATGTTTTTATCCTATAAATGCCAAAGAACAAAAGTAATAATGGCACTTGCTGATGCAGTAATACATTTATTAAATAAGAAGATAATCCTTTATTTGTCTCAGAGTGGAGAAATTTCAATGTTATTGTTGACACTTTTAAAAAAAAGACAATATAATTACTTTTGGCGTATAAGTATTTCAGCTCTACATTTTTTTATATGTCCTAATTGGTCTGTTGTCAGACAGATCCATGTCACACTGGAGTTCATGGTCTTTCTAGTTTCTAGACTAGCTCATGTACACATGTTATTTGACCACCAGAGGGAGTCGTCATTCAGCATATCAATGAAAATAATTACATTTAACAAAGAAAGCCAAGTTAAACATTTACAATACGTGTTTGCCGATGACTGGAAGAGTTCATACAAGTAGTTATTTGGGAATAAGTCCTAAAAATTATCAAGTATAAAATGTATTAAGTTACAGCTTTATAAATTGTGTTTTGGGCAGTTACTTCACTCACTGTAAACTGTTAGCCATCCGTACACTCCGTTCAATCATCATTTCACTGCATGTAACGTAATGCAATTTGTACTATGGTGTGGTGCGACCAGGCTAGTGAATTTATAGAATGAAGGAAAAAAATATGTATATTTTTTTTATTAAAATAGGAAAGTTATGTGGCAGACTGCTTCATTATCTAATCAAAAGAAACGTTTAGGCTAAAAAAAAAAGTGTTCAAATCACAAACGTGGGAGAGCGATGAGGGAGCTGGGGGCAGATGATGGGGAGGGTGGTGAGGGGGTGAAGAGAGCGAGGGAGGAGCAGATGAGGAGCTGCTGATGGGGGTGAGGGAGGGTGAGGGAGGGTGAGGGAGGAGCATCTCGCACAGACAGCACCAGCCTCAGCAGCGGCGGCAGAATGGACCGTCTCTAACCGGGGAATTCTAACGGGCTCTGCGGCCGTGTCCCACAATCTGGACCCACAGGTACCGCTGACTCCACACTGCTTTCTATCCGCTTAGCATGTAGCTTTAGCATGTAGCACAAAGCAAAAAACAGGCTCAAGAAAAGGGCTGCAGGAAGGAAGCGACGCAAAGCAGCAGCAGCAGCAGCAGCAGAGGGACCAGCGGGGCCTGCCATCCTGTGTGTGGCATTAACATACTAACCCCTTTATTTATCCACCATTTCTTCTTCGTGTGTTTAGAAAAAATGTGTGTTTTAAGCATGGATCTATAAGGTTTTAAGTCACGCATAGTCGCCCATTCGTGTTATAACCACGTAAAAACCACGCTCTCTCGCGTTGGTAAACATGCTTCACGTTGTCTGTATCAATAATGAATGCAGTTTCTCATTAATACCTGCAAATATTTAGACATATTTACATTGTGTGCAACTCGTGGTTAGCTAGAGAATAGTTTTTTTTCGCAGAACATATGTTGGATGTGCCCAGAGCCTTTCTCCAGCCAACAACAACAGCAGCAGAGGCAGCAGCAGAGGCAGCAGGAGAATGTGTGCTGGGCTTTTTTTTCCTCTTTCCTTACAGCAGATTGAAGTGAAGCATTTGGGACGATTTTTGCGAGTTCCCCATCCAACAAATGCGTGATTGTCGCGTTGAACAGACTGGGGCATTGTAGCTGCCATAATGTGCCTTCTGTGGGATGTTTTATGTGTGACGCACCCAGACATGCGGAGATAGAGGATGCTGTGCCTACAAGGACGTCACAGCTTTATACCCTGGACCCCGACATGCAGAGGATCCCATGTAATGCAATATTCAGTAATAACACGCTAAATATGCATTCTGACGTCAGATTTATACAGTTATATGTACACTGACTGGATTTGCCCATAGGCGACACTATGGCCTGGCACAATTGCTCATGACATTTGCAGAACACACAGCTCTGGTTGTTTACTGAAGCGAGGAGCACTGTGTGAAGTCCATGAGATGTCAGTGGCTTTCCTTGTGTTTTTTCCTCATGTTTTTTTTCACATGGCAAGAGCTAGAGGCCTTGTGTTAGAGAGGTATGTAAATTATAAGGAGTTGGTGTGAAATATAGTGTTTAGTGTTGAAGATTGATGCTGTCAGTGATTTGGAGAAAGTTGACCTGGACTTGGAGATGCTCTATTTCTGTATTGTTTACCTTTCTACAGCACTCATGTTAATCCTATACATGGGTGTGTTTATCATTGATCATTGAAGGTATGTGCATGTATGTACTTGTGTATATGGTTGCAATATGTTAAGACATTCATTTTCAATTTGATATTCATGGATGGGCTAGATTGTATTTTATTATTGACCTTAGTTTAACCAGGAAAGTCCCACTGAAATCTCTGAGTCCTGGCCCCTGAGAGAGGGGTGCAATGTCAATGTTTTTTAGTGGTAGGGGAAACCGGAGCATCTGGAGGGAACTTATTCAGATACAGGGAGAACATGCAAACTCCTTTCCGAGAGGCCCTGTCAGGGAGAGTCCCACTTATGCATCTTGTGCGTCTTGATTTTGGTAATAGGGTTAGGAAAAATGAATGCCAAACTTCAGCCTGCATTTCTGTAAAATAGTCGACGTTTGGCTATGATATTGTTCTTGTTGTTGACTAAGTACAGCACAGTACGGTGTAGTAAAGTGTTTAATATTTCATTGGTAGTGTGTAAAAATAGACGTATTGAAAAGCAGATAGATGTTCCTGGATACTTGGATCTGGCAACTGTACAAAAACATGAGTGTTCCGTAGGTTTGTAGTGTTGTTGTCAAAGGTGAGAGGAGGAGAGGTTTGGAATAAATACAGGAGTTCATCCATAACGGTTCTTTTGCTGCTGTCTTTGTCCTTTCCAAATGGCATTACAAAGCACATTCTGAACATGTGCTGAACCTGCTGTCCTCCTTCCTTGTAAAGGGGAATCTGCATGTTTACAACAACAGCACTAATGAATCATTATGCATTATTTACCTCAGTGCAGGTTGGTACCATTTCAATGATAGCAGCAGAATTTAAATCATAATAATTCTATGTAATAGCAGACTTACTAAATAGTTATGATTTTTTATTGGCCTTTCACAATAACATGTTTGATAGATCGCTTCATATTTTGAACTATTTAGTCATATTGAACCTGTTGATTTCCCAAATGAAGATCAGTATATCAAACCATGAAACAATTACAAGACTTTGGTGTTTAAAGACCAATTTGACCAAGTATTTGAGCAAATGGATAAATCCTGGAGTTTAGAGCCTTCTTCGGCTAGAAGGAATAAGAGAAACCTCGGATAGAACCTCACTGATGCTTTAGATGAGTCCAGGACAGATGGTCATCCAGAAACAAAAAAAACACCATTCATTTACAAAGAAAGTGGCTAAAATCTCAGCACCATTGGAAAGAAAACGTACAGACACTAAATGTTGTTTTAATCATCACTTATTGAAAAGTGGTCGCAGTAATCATCATGTCAGGCCTTTTCTCAGCTGGTGGTTGCGTGTGTGGCATAAGTGAGTGAAAACAGCCGCAGCAAAATAAATAGAGGAGCTACCCCTTTGATAACAGAATGTCTTGTCTCTAATTTTATCATTTTAGATACATTAGATTATTACTTTCTTTATCCCATGAGAGGAGATTCCAGTTGCCATCTGTAGCAGACACAACACAGACACAGACAGATTTATTTTTGTAATTAACTAAAAAATGATTCAACTTTTAAATTTGCACCTTTGATCCCTTCTATTCTGTAATGTGTGCGTTAAAACTACAATTTCCCAACTGAGGGATGAATAAAGGTAATTGTATCTTATTTAAATTGGGCTCAAAACTGATCCTAACATAGGCAAGTGTGAACGGCGTTTTGTTTATCCAAATTACCTTATTCCTGTTATCAATATGAGCCAACAGACCCAACCGTCTCATTCAAAGATAACAATTTAGTCTGTTATTTTCCAAAATACCTTAATGTTTACTCTCCCGCCAGTAGCTAGCGCTGTTCAAACAATCACAGGAAAAAGTCCCAGAACAGAATAGAATGACATTGGATTGGCTGTAGTCCACATGTGACCACAAGATCCGAGAATGTGGTGTGAAAAGGTGTCACAAGACGGACCTCAGCTGAGAGTGAATACAACACATGGTTATAGGCAGCATGTTGATCAATAGGCCTCCAGCTGAGTCATCCACGCGACACATCAGCTAAACGCACATCAAAAAGCCCTATTGTCCCTATTGATCACATCAAATAGACCATGTTCTTCATTTTGATTGTCTCTTCAGCCAATGTATTCTGCCTTCAATACAAATCATTCTCTCATAATTTTGTGGAGTAAAAATAAGTCCTTGAATTTTATAAATATAAATTGATGGTTATATTAGGAAATCATGTTGAGTCTACACAGGAGCAAATGTGCAAACAGATTCAGTTTCAGATTCAGTTTATTTGCCATTTGCAGTAATACCACATAGGAATACATTAGCAAAAGTCACCAGTGTGCACAGACAAATACAAACATAAAAAACATTAAAAGACAAAAATAAACGAATAAAACAGTAAACAAATGTCACTGTGAAATCGATCGACTAAAACAGTTTCAAAACAAGTGCAAATCATTAAAGTGCTCTGTTCACACTGATAACAGCTTGTGGATAAAAACTGTTAGCGTAACGAGATGTCCTGCATCTCAGAGAGCGATATCTTCTGCCAGAGGGAAGAAGCTGGAACATGGCTTTCCCAGGGTGGCCAGAAGAGTCATTAACAATCCTAAGAGCTTTGTTTAAAAGTCTGGATTTTTAAAGAACCTCCAGAACAGGAAGCTCACAGCCCACGGTCCTCTTTGCAGAGCGGAGCACCTTGTTTAAAGCTCTCTTTTCTTTGTCTGTGATGTTTCCAAACCACACAGACACAGACACAGAACCAACAAGTAAACGTGTGTTGTTGCATATTTTCTACAGTCTCTCTATTAATGAGAAGAATGTACAAGCACAAAACAGCAGTGTAGATTAGAGCCAGTCATTTTAAGGACATGTTGTGCGCCGTCTGATACAAAGTTGGCTTTGTTCCTCCGGTATCTGGACAGGGTCATGTTGGTGAATACATAGGATGTTGGTGAATGTATATGTGCAGTCTTGCCTTCATGACCAGAGGAAGTACATTTTGGCCTTGTCTCCACTTTACTGTGTTCACACCTCGGCTGTGAATTAATTTTCACACTGATCCCACTGTAGGAGAGTTGGAAATGAGAGTCGGTGTCCGTGTTGTATTAGCAAACTGTTACGAAACACACAATCCCACTGCATCTATGAATATTTTAGAATTCCATGATGTATCTTTGCCTCATATTGTTACAGCAATCGCTGGGCTATTTTTGGGGTCTTTTGACCGCTGAGGTTTTGCTTGTGTCTCATGACTGCCCTCTGCTTCTCTTAAACAATAAATGTCAATATTAGTCAATTAGTCAATATGTCAAACCCCTAGTTTTGCTTTGGTTCTTTCAAACTCAGTGAGTAAGATATATTTGGCTCAATAAATAGTACACTGTAGCAGCTCATGTGTTTTCTGTGGCACAGACCTGAGCACTGACATTAAAGCGAGCAGACAAACACAGAGGCGCCGTGAGGTCATAGCACGTCATCATTTAATGAGATTACACTGACTGCTCCTCGCACTGCATGTGGTCCACTGTAAACAAATACACTCAGGGAGACAAGCTCCTCCCTAGGGCTGCCCACTGATGCAATAATATACTATACCAGTATGCATTCAATAATTTAACTTTGACCACTCAAAATTGTATCTGGAGTGAGCGAGTACCTGAATAGTAATAACTATTGGAAGAAAGTGAAATGCATTATGAAATGGTTAAAATCAGCAGAATTCAGAAACTGAATTGAATAATCTATAGATGAGTGACTTCTAATGAATAATAATGTGATACGATTATCATTGTCACACTCAAACATGATGACATGAAGAGTGATCATATTATTGTCTGTTACTGTATAAATGTTTATATAAAGCAAAGATAATCAGTATTTCTTGTCTTTGTTTGTCTTTTATAGTTAGATTCCTAAACACTGTCCTGCAAACATTTGCAATAACAACGTCCAATGTGTTTGTTGCAGGCGCCGAGTGTCCGACATCCCAAAGATGCGGCTCTCCTCCTCTGTGCTCTGCTGCTGTTCTCCAGGGGGCGTCTAACTCACCAAAAACATGATGAAAACAGAACCGTCCGGAGGCACCGGGACCTCTGCCGGGAACAACGGGGGGAACAGTGGGAACATTAGCCTGCGCAGTGCCTCTCCACATCGGAACGCTTACGAGGCCGGGCTGGCTGCACTCAAGAAGGCCACCGACCACCTCAACAGCACCGCCACCAAAGGAGGGATTGACCGAGGAGCTAAACCCGCCCTCCTGCCCCGTCCGAGCGAGAGGGGCCGCAAATATGGATCAAACGTCCACCGCATCAAGAACATGTTCATGCAAATGCAGTCGCCGGGCGATGAGGAAGATGGGAAAGCTATTGGTAAGCTCTTCTCTCTGCAATCTGTGGTCAATACTGGTGTGCAAAGTAGTGTATGTTCAGAAAAAGAATCGCCCCATCCAAATTGTCCTTGTACTAATTGAAAATACTGCTCCCAATCCCTGCAGCCACACATGTTTGTGATACTACTTTCTTGTGTTTTGTAGGCACAGAGGAAGAAGTGAAATTGATGTTAACCCGGACGTCCGGCCTGAGCGAGCATGTGGACCACAGTGCGCTTCTCAAAATGGGAAACGCCACGTCTGAAAAGGTCACTCGTGCCGGAAAAGCAGAGGGACTGGGTGCTTCCAAACTACAAGAGACAAGACGGATCTTTGAACAGCGGGTGCTACAGGTTTAAACTTTAACTTTGTAGTTTTTATGTATTTAAATGTACATAGGAGAACCTTTTTGAGTGATGTTGTACAGACAGTACAGACAGTTGTCTGTCTGATGATGTACAGACAGAAATGATCAGACTCACACATGCATCCATACATCATTCAAAAACTGGCTATTTAGCCAAGCTGCAGTAACAAAGAATATTTAAAAAAAAATTGTTTGGCATTAGCCAAACAATTGTACCATAGTACAAATGACATTTCATACTAAGGTCTGGAGGCGCTCCATTGAGCTCTGTTTACAGATAGGAGGGGTTAACTCCTTTTGCAGATTGAAACGATTAGATCTGAGTTTACCGTGACGCATGTAATGCGCCCGAGTGAGTTGTTAGCATTTAGCATTTAGCCTAGCCATCTCCTTTGCTGCTAACGGAGCGCCACAATTTCTTCTAGCGATTACATTTGCTAAACATTCCTCTTGCTCCAGCTTCAATTTCTTTATAGAACCAGACTGGATTACTTTACTATCGCATTTTTCGCCATTGCCAAACTACAACCTTCCCGTTCGACGCAGACTCTTGATGTCACCCACAAATAAATACAACACTCTCCTTCCGCGCTCGCTGGTATGTTGGTCGAAATTCAACCGATTGTAATCGCTAACACAGGGATCAGACCCAGACGTTACATGCAGGGAAATGATGATTGAGCGGAGTGTACGGATGGCTAAGGCCAGGCTAGTTCGGCATCACAGTAAGAAATCCATACAGAAGTGCCCATGTCCTACAGTCCATGTTTTTTCTCATGGGCTTGGACTTTGGGCTAATATATTGTAGTTTTAAATGTAACTGTAGTGCATGCTGTTTTTTAAGGAAAAACAAGCAGCCACCAATCGAATCCTGCTGAAGAAGGAGCGCGCTTCTGGGTTTCAGGACAGCCGGCTGGACGTTGTGGCTCGGTTTAATGGCTCGACAGAGGCCCTGGACCGTCTGGACGACCCGCCTGCTCCTGTACCCGCCTCCATCCCAGCTCCAGAAGACGTGACAGGCCCCGGAGACGCCGTCAGTCCCACTGTCAGCCAGCTGAGCGCTGTGTTTGAGAAGAGCAAAATGCAGAACCACTACCTCTCCCAGCGCCGCTCGGGTCCTGCACTAGGGCCAAAGCCTAAACCTCCTCCCAAGAATGAAGCTCTGAAGAAGGTAAGCATCATCCATATCATCTCAAATGACAATCATCTATGACTTTTCTGTCAAGAATTTAAATTCTTGCTAAGAAGCAGGTAAGCATCAACCAAGTTGTGTGTACTTGTATTTTAACCCTTTAACATTTACTCCTTGAAGAAACAGTGCCATTTTTTCTTTTTTGGATTTTCTAATATGCAGGACCACAAATTGTGTGGTTTTAAGTTTTTTTAACACCTTTTTTAAATTATAGGCCTTTACCAAATGGTTGAGATGCAGTTTGATGTTAAAAGTGCCTAAAACTAAGTGAGATGGCCCAAAGAGGTAGATTTCAGTTCCAAGCTTCCAAGTAGATATAGTGACTCAAAAGGTGATCTACCAAATGGTTGAGGACAGAGGTTTAACAGAGGTTTCCCAAAGTGAAATGTGGCGAAGTGATAAGATAAGATAAGATTAATCTTTATTCGTCCCTCAGTGGGGAAATTTCAATGTCATTGTTGCATAAAGGGAGGAGATAAGAGCACTCAGGTTGCACACATAACAAAACAAACCATAGGCGTTAGTTTTTCAGCTATGGGTTTGATTTCTAGCTGACCAAACAAAGTCGTTCAGCGTGTAGTTTGCGTGTTCTCCAGGTGTCTGCCTAGGTTTCCTCAAGGTATTCCAGTTTCTCCTACCAGTGAACAGATAGGAATGGACTGTGATGACCAGAAGGTTTTGTGCTCCTTCTGCGCGACAGCACCACTACTGTATGTGGAGTAAATGGAAAAAAATGCTAAATTACAAACATACAACTCCTTAGAGACAAAAGTACATTATGTACACTAACCCTATTTTAACAGAATGTTTGGAAATATTATGTTAGATTTGTGGCTGAAATAGTCTCACTAAAGTGACATTCTCCAGTATAAGATAATATGCTAAATGGCTTGTTCTGTTTTGTCCCATTTTTGCCAAAGGTGCTGGCGCCTGGTAAAGAGAGCGAGACAGAGAAATCTACAGCAATGACAAACGAGATCCAGGAGGAAACCTCGTCAAGCACTCAGTCGGACTTTGAGGCCTCTGGGCTGAGTGAGGAGCAGGACCGTGTCACAGCAAACGAAGGCCACCTGAACCACTGCTCCTCCGCACCTCCTTCTGTCACTGTGACCCCGGCCTCAGAGGAACATCCCGAGTGCATGGACAAGGGCTCCAGCACAGAACCCGTCATCACCGTGGAGCATTGCGGCGCCAACGGCAGTGCTGAGCCTGAGGGAGCCACGCTGGTGCAGGCGCAGGTCCACGCCGCCTTAGAAAACGGACAGACGGAGATCCCAGCTTCACCGGACAGGACAGAGGAAGAAGAGGAGGAGCGGGAGGACTACTCTGAGGGAGATCTGGTGGATGTCAGCGCCTACAGTGGCATAGGGGAGGACGATTCAGGAGGCAGCCAGCTGGACGATGATGACGAGGAGGAGGAAGAGGAGCCGTATCAACCTGAGAGCAGCAGCCACGAGATCCAAGGGCTTCCCGAGGAGGAGGAGCCCCCATCGGCCAATCGGAAGATCAGATTCAGCACAGGGCCAATCACGGTGGGTCAATTGAAAAATGTTTTGCTTTGGTCAAAATGGGGTTAATTAACCTTTCCCCCCGACAACAGAAAGTCTTGTAAACTAAAATGTTGTGAAGCAATCAGACCGCAAAGAAACCTTTTATGTTTTGCATTCTTTAGAGCGTTGTGAGTCACTGTGAGCTGATTGGCTGAACAACAGTGGCCCTCTCTTTTTGTCAAATATGTGATGGAGGCTGAAAATACTGTACATAAATTGAAAACTAGTGATAGAAGCAAACTGTTTGAGAGAGAGCGACTATAGATTATATTACCTACTTCTGGATGTGGTTTGAATGTAATGCACACCAGCTTTAACTTCATCCATTTTACTTGAGGTAGGTTCAAACATGTTCTGTAATAGACAAAAGGACTAAACTACATACTTCACATTGTCGGTTTAATTACAATCCCTTTTTAAAATGAAATGATGACTTATGATTTATTCAGTATGCACCTCCCTCTATTCACTCGTGTGGTAGAAAAGAAGGTGTTGTGAGAGATTACTCTGCTGAAGCACTTCCTGTGTGGTTTGTCACTGTCTGGAGGATGATATTACCAAACCCAGACAAAGCTCCATTTTTACTTACAGGAAGCCCCATAAGAAGAATGTTCCAGATGCTAAGCTCGTGCATAAAAATAGTCCTTTCAATAAAACCACCCTCTAATTAAAATATATTGTAATTATTAGAACAATTAACATTCGTTTTTAAAGCAAATCGAGCCAATACTTTCACTGTTGCTTCCTTTTGACTGTGAAAAAGTTTTTAATTATAGTGATGATTTTAAATATCAGTCAAGCGATTTGATTTTTGTCAAAACTAAACAGTCGGTGAATACAGTAAACAGCCATCCTTGAGTTGAAATGTCTCTAACTACACAGCATCATGCACTTTTTTGGATTTCATAAAAGGCTGACTCTTCCCTAAACTGTATTTGAACGCTGATTATTCTCCTCCACTCCCTCAGTGACATGTCCCGACGGGCTGCGCAGCTGTCACTCTATTGCCACTTGTAGAGCTTGTCTTGTCGAGTCTTTTTACATGAGAAAATACATTGAAAGGTGCATTCCTGAACTCAACTGTCCCAGCTTTTTGCTTTAGGTTCATCTAAATGTTGTTTGGCCTGGATATTTATACAAGGCAATACCAGGCCTATCAGAAGAAGCAGGTATCTGTCTGTTTCACAAAAAGCGGATCACCATTAGGACAGTTGAGGAATGCATCTTTGTATAATTTCTATGCCCATTTTTTTTATTTAATTAACAAATCATTTAATTTTGTTGTCCCTGGGGCTGTGCTGGCAGGGATATTTCGGTAATGGAGTCCTGTCATCCAAAGAGGCATAATGTATAGAATTTACTCCGCATTTGTTTAGTCTTCCTGTTAGTTTTTCTGCTGGATATGTTGTATGTTAGTGCGACAGGCAGTTGCTCTAAATAATTCAAACTTTAATTGCTAAAAGTTTAGTGTTGCTTCAGTAAAATGGAAGTATCAGTTTACACAAATATTCCCTGTACATGTTGCGTCATTACAGCAGTGTCATGAATTCTGAAAGAAAATCAAGGTATAGTCGTTTACTTCCACTTTGAAGGTGTATCCCTGCTGCACTGAGAAAGCTTTGTTTGTTTAGGAATTGAACCGCAGTCTGCAGCAGACTCAGTGAACGCAGCCACCGGATCTCGTCTCACACGCCAACAGATTGAACCAAATAACTTCATCAACAGCTTCTATGTGGAGCTTAAAACACAGCAAAACACAGAGACATCAATCTCAGTAAAGCAATGATTAAACACTCAAAATATTTGTTGTAACAGTCATCCAATACAACAATATTTATAGACTTTATAGAAGCATCAGCAATTCAAAGTCCTGATCCCAGTGATTATATTACATGTACATTCACTGTGAGTCCAGAAAATGTCACTTTTGTTCAAACAACACTGCAAAAAATTATGAAAATTAAGTTAAACATTGCTCAAAATGTATCTTACTGTTGACTGCCTTAAAACAAGATTTGCCAATGGGACAAGCTAAATTATCTTGTTTTAAAAAGATACAAAAAATATCTTCCTTGTAAAGAGTAAGTAAGTAACAGACCAAGGCCACCCAAAGCGCTTTACAATTGTTCAGAGTTCAGATAGTTATTCCATTCTCTCCACACACAATGATGACGGAAGCGAGACGCCGAAAACACTGTTGCATCAAATCCCCAACCAACACTATCCACATTCACTCACTCATTACATTCATACTTATTGTGCATGTTTTTAGTGGTAGGGGAAATTGGAGCACCTGGAGGAAACCTACGCAGACACTCGGAGAACTGGCAAACTCCACTCAGAAAGGCCCTGTTCCGACTGGGTTTCAACTCAGGACCTTGTTGCTGAGAAGCGAGAGTGCTATCCACTCAGCCAAAGAGAACCAAAGCAACAGTTCTTGAAATGAGACTAAATGGCTTTGTCCCATCGTAAATCTTGTTTTAAGACAGTCAAAATATACTCAAATTAAGACAAAAACCACTTGATTCAAGTAATTATTACCTATTATATCATTTTTTTGCAGCGAAGTTGATCATGATAAGTCTGCAAACAGTTGGGAATTCTGCTCTGGTCACTTACCACACAACAACAGTTATAACAGTACTAGATGCATCGCACACACTTCAATTCAAATCGCCAAAACAGACCAGAGACTAAAACAGTTCAAACCCAAACAGTATAGAACACATGGGTATTGGTCCATAGGGAGATAAACGTCCATAAATGTTGTACAATGTTAGAGTGTCCTGGATCATCACCCCAGTCCTTTTTGTCAGATCACTACAGACCCTCCTGAATCGGCAAGGAAAAACTCTAAAACCCAGTGGGAGAAAAGTGAGAAACTTGATGCTTATGATGTGGTAGGAGCCGGGACTCTAATATCACCGTTGAGCCGCAGTGACGGCGTGCGTGAGAGTGAAGCCGTGTGCAGAGAGAGAGTGCTCTGTGGGATTGGGATAGTCCTGCCGCAGTGACAAAGACCTCTCCGGCCCAGACATGTCCGCCGCTCAAACGCACTGTTCTTTATTGTTTCAACGTTTTCCAATTCAACTTAAAAGCATTCTTTGTGGACTGCAACGAGAAACGGAATACCATTTACATATCATAGTGCAGGTAAAAGTAATGAGAGTGTGGTCTGAAGTTTTATTCAATACTGGTTTCAATTCCATCTATTCTTGTATCACCCTAAATCACAACAGTAGTTATTTTCGGAGGACTTTACAAAATTGTTGAATTCGCCAACACAGATCAGAGAATCAAAACACAAGAAATGCAATGATAACAAACACATAGAGCCATTGGTCCATAAGGGGCGGATGACCATGTCCATAAATGTCCATAAATGTCGTTGCATGAGTGTCCTGGATCATCACTTCTCCTGTACCATTTGGAACTGGAATATATTTACAGACATATTCATGCATGAAGCTTTTGTGAAAGAAAAAAATATTATAAATAAAGCAGCAGCATGTAGTTTGGAGTTTGCTGTGAGGCTAATGCTATGAGAAAAAAAATAAAAAATCAAGTACAAAATTGACATTCTGACATGGCACTGGTAAAACATGAATAATATTATCATATCATAGCAACGCTTTGAATGATGAACTTGCTTCCTGCCTGTTTAAAGCCATCAAGCCCCGACTCGCTTCGCCACACGTTTTGAAGTTGTAAACAAGGCTCCCTCTGTGTGCGCTGTAAGAGGTGGAATGTGGATGGGTGTGTTTGTTTTCCTCTGCGGCGCACACCTCCGCATTATAAACATGATCCGCACAGAGGAAGAGGATGGGAATCAGCCATCGGGCCCCAAAATGATGCTTGCACGTTGTATTTTCACAGTATAAGGTTTCCCCGCACTTTCACAGTCAGTCACCAAGCGATGTGTTTTGTGTGATAACTATGCTAATGTGAAAAGTTTAAAGAGAGAAAAGCATCGCACTTTCAAGTTGCAGTTTCAATCATTTTTTCTTAAACACATTTCAGCCTTTGTCAATCATTACAGTCTATGGTTAAATTCAATTAATGTATTCTTCTATCGCCCTAAATCACAACAGTAGTAATCTTGAAGGACTTTACAAAATCGTTGAATTCGCCAACACAGATCAGAAAAACACAAGAGATGTGATGAGACAAAACACATAGAGCCATTGGTCCAGAAGGGGCAGATGACCAATGTCCATAAATGTTGATAAATATTGTTGGATGTTGAGTGTCCTGGATCACCACCACTGTCCTTTTAGTTAGACCTCACAAGACTCAAACAACATCGCTAAGGAAAAACTCTAAATCCAATTAAGGCTTTGAAGCTTCTTTTAATAAGATAAAGGTCTTTGGTTCGAATCCTGGTCGGAACGGGGCCTTTCTGAGTGGAGTTTGCATGTTCTCCCCATGTTTGCGTAGGTTTCCTCTGGGTACTCCGGTTTCCCCTACCACTAAAAACATGTACAATAGGTCTGGCATAAATGCCCACAATTGTAAACCGCTTTGTGACTCTGGTCCGTGAAAGGCGGTATATAAATAAAGATTACTTACTTACAACAAAAGTAAAGAAAGCTAGTAAGCGGTAATAAGCAGTACTAGCTTTCTTTACTTTTTTGTTGTATTAAAAAAACCTTCTAAGCCTTTAACATAAGAAGACAACTTTTACTTCTAAACCCAATTATTATTCAATTACTATGTCTTTCAGACTAAACTAATCCGCATCAATGTTATATGGGCACAACAATTGTGAGAATGCTAACATTTAAAACTTGATATCCATATTACTGAACTCAAACTCGATTCTCTACCAATTCAAAGCCGTTGTGATTTAAGATTTTTTTTACACCAACCGAATTGTATTTTTTATGATGCCACAACTTTTTGTCCAATTTTTCAAATACAGTTGAAAATTTAAAGCGGTGGAGACAGGGAGCTCCTGGTATCGAGGCTAATCACCAGTGCTCATAAACAAATCAATTCAATCCAAAAAGAAGAATAATCCACAGGCGCTCACTTGATTAGAATACACTATCTTTGACAGAAGTCGCTCCTGGTTCAGAATGATTTTAAAAATGCTCAAGAAATACGCAACGCTGACCTGTTTCAATTGTTTTCGATTCTAAAACAAGTATCTGATTTGTTATTCTTTTGAAAACCTTAATGTACGGACAACATTATGGGAGACAGTGCTCTAGAATTCTGAACCATGATTATATACAGTTTAACTTTTGCAGTCTTACTATATGTTCTTTTGTGTGTAGCAACGTGGGATTCAGAGAGGGGCCGTGTGAGCGCCGGCTTTCCCATTCCCACATTACTGCTGTTTGCTGAAATGCTTTGGAGTTATAAATGAACAACCAGCCGCATGTTTCTGCTCAGCCTTCAGAGGTCATCATATCCATTATTATAGATTACGCAACCAATGGATAAAATAATATATGTTTTGGCCCTAACATAGATTTTATGTAGTTTTTTATAATTTTGGATCTATTTCAGAACTGGTATACATTGTGGTACCATAAAAAGCACCATAATGTTTTATCGTAATCTATAAAATCTTTTTTAAATAGTAATTTTTGTATCAAAATTGGTATAGAATAAAATGTATTTTGTTGACCTTTTTAACCAGGAAACCATGTAATCAGGATATATTTTTTCAGGGGAATCCTAGCACCAGAGAGAAGGGAGCTTGAGAAGGGTACATGTTTTTAGTGGTAGGGGCAACCGCAGCACCCAGAGGAAACCAGAGTACACACGGGGAGAACTTGCAAACTCCACTTAGAAAGGCCATGACTGGAGATGGAATAGAACCAGGTCCTGCTGAGAAGAAGCTATCCATCCATCCATCCATTTTCTTCCCCTTAATCCGTTTCTGGGTCGGGGGGGTGGCAGTCAGAGCTGCACCCAGTACCCTTAGCACCATCCCCTCACTGATCCTCCTGCAGGTGGTGAGTCCACAGGAGCTGAGATCTTTCAGTGGGAGCTTCAGGCAAAGTGGAGTTAAGTGTCTTGCCCAAGGACACAACGACAGCAGTCATCAGTGGGAGTCGTGAAGTAGGTCTTATAGTGGGCTTGAACCCACGACCTTCAGGCCCAAAGGCCAATGCTCTACCAACTGAGCTACTGTCGCCCCTGAGAAGAATTTACTCTTTTTTTATTAGCATCAAACTCCATTTTAGTATCATGACCATAATAACTTGTGTGTGTGTATATCTGTGTGTGTGTGTGTGTGTGTGTGTGTGTGTGTGTGTGTGTGTGTGTGTGTGTGTGCGCGCGCGAGGGTGTTCTGTGTGCACGGGTGTGTGTGTGCGAGAGAATGTACTGTACGTTTATATCCGTATGTGTGTGCACGAGGGTTTGCGTATGTCTGTGTGTGTGTGTGTGTGTGTATGTGTGTGTGCACGAGGGTGTGTGTATATCTGTGTATATGTTTGTGTGTAAATATTTGACTGAAATCAGAGTACTTTGGTTTGATCAGATTTCTTCTGAGCGCGTTGGTGCAGGACACTGCCTGATGCTCGCTGCTGGTCGCACTGTTGAACGCTGGATTCTGTTTCTGGAGGCTTTAAAGTTACTCAACAGGAAGGAAACGTGACAACAGGAAACAGTTTGACAATCACACCCTTTGACCCCATTTGTCAGAGATCTACATCGAGAACATGGAGAAAATAATGTTAAGACCTCCATTTTCTCTTAGCAAGATGTTTTTCCATTGACGAACCCAATTTAATTGAGCAAACGGCTAAAGAATTAGTTAAAAATGCATTTTGAGTGCATATGAGTGTAAGTGGTCACTTTAACTGGACCAAGTCCGGTTCTTCTCCGCTCTGTTTCAAAAGATGTGAACTGACTTAAGTGACACAGGTTCATGTGTTTGGTGGTTTCACATTATCTACAAATAAAAACTTTTGGAAACCAGACGAACAAGTGTGAACGCGCCCAGACACAACTGATGAGATAATAGAAGAATCCCATGAATTACTGACACGATCTAGTCCAAAACAAGTTTCTATAGAAATAATTAAATCATTGCAGTCACAGGCGCATTCTGTAATGTGACAATTATCAGGTTTTCAATCAAACTGCGATCTATAAATATGAATATCCGTCGGTTTAAGTGCAGTCATCTGTCAGAGTCACTTTACAGCTCATATTTGCCTGTTATAGGGAGTGCTACATCTTTCTAAAAGCAAAACGTGTAGAATTGGAGAAATGCATATCTAATGAGGTGGTATCTCATGGCGCTGCTCTGGTCTGTCCTCTGCATGCTTGGTCTACTTTTGTGGGACATGTTTTTTGCATCTGGGACTGGCCTAACTTTGGGCGCTGGGACTGACCTGAGTTGCGGTCTGGGACTGGCCTAACTGGGCCTTGCTGATGCACATTGTTCATTGTTACAGTCTTGGCATCATAGAAATGTTTAAACCAAGCTGGTTATGACTAAAACTATTAGTTATAGTTATTCTTCAATGTTCAATAGCTGTATTTATAGCAAACTAAATTCTATATATGGCTTGAGATTCTACACATGTTAATCTTCTTCCCACTTTATTTGTACATTTCTTCATTGTGAGATCAATAAAGTTTATCTTATTTCATGCTGTTAATTTGTAAATATAATTGCTGCCATAGCGACAATTCAGCACCAACTCTTCTATCTTTTTAAATGGTGAAAAAGTTCAAAAAAAAAATCAGCAAACAACAGAAAGCCAAAAACCCCAAGAATAGGCTCCGCACTCGCAGCCCACCAGACACGAGAGACGGACCAAAATACAAAGCGCTCGCCGGTGCCAAACGTGCAGTGAGCAAGCCCCGCGGTTGCCATGGAAACCGAGACCACGTGATCCACGGCCCCGGTCACAGGGGACAGATGCGGCCGACCCTTCAGGAGGGGGGAGGGGTGTGAAGGAGAGTGGGGAGAAAGGTGGGACATGAATCACAAGGCTCCGTATGATTTATTAATGCATTACACATGAAAAGAGCAGATCTCAGGGTATTTTTAGGTGTTATTTAGTGTGCGGGTGTGTTCTCTGCCTACGACAGCGTTTACAACAGTAACCATTAACTACATAATGGGAACTCAGGACAATGCTGCCGTTGTCAGAAGGGCAGTTAGAAAGACAAGATTATATGGTTGTATGCAAACATTCAGTGTTATAGCTGTTGCACATGCTAGCCTTGTTATTCTGAGAAGGTGCATAGAAAGAGTTATGTAATACAGCAGTTTTAACAAAGACATAATGACATTTCTCTGTTAGAGTGAGCTTTCTTGTTTCGAAAAAAGCAACCTTTTTGTTTTTAAGGAGAGTCATCCGAATATATATATATTTATAGTGTTGAGGAAATATAAAGAAATATTAAGTACACCTAAACAAGTGAACCTTTCATTTAAAATGTAAAGTGAAATTTGATCAAGATGATATATGTGTTTATAACAAAAATAAGTAGTAATTTTGCATTTACAGTTTAGAAATGTCATTTGTTTGCCTTATAAAATGCACATTTACATTTACATTTTCTAATCTAGATACTTCAATGATCATAAAAAGCAGCATGGTGTAATTTGTTGTAGGTTTGTGGTGGAGTCACAAACACTGAAATCTCATTATGAAACGCTCTGAATTGGTTTTATGTGGCCGGATTATGTGTCTGACTGAAGCCCATTTTCACAGCACAGTAATAACAGGTTTACTTAAAAATAAAAACATGTTTATTTATTTATTCCGTTTTTCTGTAAATATTTAATGTTATTGATATTATTTCTGGATATTTAGACGGCCTGATCATTGTATGTATACATTGCTAGTGTTTCCTTGGTTTGATGGACTTTTTCTTAAACATATATGAAGAGTTGAACCATACCTGCAATTGAAAACCAGATCCTGTCAGACATCTGAAGCTAAGCAGAGCAGGACCTGGTTAGCCCTGTGATGGGAGACCTCTGGGTACAGCAGGTGCCACAGTGGGGCGGCTGCGGCTGTAAAGTGCCAAACCAGTCTTTATTCACCCACATTGCCGAGAATGTGTGTGTGCGAGTGAATGGTTGGTGGTGGTCGGAGGGGCCGATGACACATACTGGTTGGTTACAATACTACTTTATCACCACTGTGTATGTAGTGAAAGAATAAAGGCATGTGAAGCGTCTCATTGTCCACAAAAACGCTATATAAAACCAATGTATTATTATTATTATTATTATTAATATAGTGTGAAATAAAGTGATTCTGTGTGATTTGTGACTTTCAGCTTTTAAATTCAATGTCTTCTCTGCGCAGGTGTTTGCCACATACTCCAATGAGGACTACGACCGGCGTAACGATGACGTGGACCCGATGGCGGCCTCGGCAGAGTACGAGCTGGAGAAGAGGGTGGAGAAGTTAGAGCTGTTCCCTGTGGAGCTGGAGAAAGGTGAAGCTATGAGCCTCTTATGTCACTCACACACAGGCACGGCAGACTGCGCGAAACACTTTTATCCCCTCACTGGATTAGACACAGCGCCGATTAGCCCCATTAGCTGCTCGTAATTCTCAGCAGAATGGTTTTGGGCGAGTGAAGTATGACGGCTGTGCCCACTGCCACAAAGTGAAAAAAACATATTAATTTCTTCTGTGTATTTATTCAGTAGGACCCAGTTCAAAGATGATATTCAACCTGCCATTCTTGTTTCAGTCACTAGGGGCAACGTAGGGTCACCCCTTCTGAATATTTTCTTGGGACATTAGCAACATCACCCTAAAGGAAAGCCTTTGGTCATTATTGGAACCAAGATTACTCACATTCGTCTTTTACATTTTTTCACACCTTGAGCTTGGCGGTATGAGCACACAGCAGCATGAGTATTTCCTGGCGATAATACATGGCATTAAATGTGAAATACTTTGATTTATTCTTTTTGTTATCTCTAATTCATATAAGAAATAATTCATTCACTTTATGTTAACATGGCATTATTCATTTACGATACGATTTTGCCAATTTCTAATGTAGCCACAGCTGTCCTATGGCAGCGGACTGTCTCACCCTGGCTCCCATCTCAGTACTAATCAGGACATGCCCTGCTTATCTCCTGAGATATGACAAAATCTGACGAGATCATGATGTCACGTGCATCATACTTTCTCTATAATGTGTACCATTTGTGAACTCTAACGTCCTGAATGGTACAGTAAAGTAAATGTGGCTGATTCAAAATGATGATTATTATTATAGACTGGACTACATTAGCAAACACAGCATTATACCTAAACAATTATTTTCAATTTTATTGTCACATCTGACTTGCTTAAACATTTCAACACTCTTGAGATAAGGCATAATTATTTATTCATACGACTAATAGCTGCATTTTAATAAGTGCTTATTTAGAAAAACAAACTATTCTGTATGATTTTATATCAGGGGTTTCTAATGTAACATAACATAATTGTCCCCTTCACCTGTTGCATAGTTGAATGTAATTCCAGTTGTCACAGCTTGTAGTATTTCTGCTTGTAGTCTTTTTACTTGTAGTATTCGTGCTTGTAGTGTTTCTGTCCGTGACGTTATGGACATGTGTGTTTGCAGACAGCGATGGTCTGGGCATCAGCATCATCGGGATGGGTGCAGGCGCAGACATGGGGCTGGAGAAGCTGGGCATCTTTGTGAAGACTGTGACGGAAGGAGGAGCCGCGCAGAGGGACAACAGGTAGAGTATTTAAAAAGTGTCTAAATGTAGAGGGACCTCCTGTGTTCATAAAGAGTCCTCTGCAAGCCTCTTACATCTGCTCTGCACTTAGACACCGCTCATAATTACAAGTTACTGATATAGCTCTGCCGACTATAGCATGTTTGTGGCTTATAGAGACATTCAGAGACTTGGTTTTAAACGCAACAAAGTCACAATCATCCTCCACGTTATAGAAAAATAAACGCAAATGATTTGATATTGACGTTGGTAATGGTTTGTGTGCAGGATACAAGTGAACGACTTAATAGTGGAAGTGGATGGGACCAGCCTGGTTGGTGTGACCCAGGCCTTTGCTGCCTCCGTCCTCCGTAACACATCTGGTGTCGTCAAGTATGTATTTATTTTACACAGAAATCTGTATTTGTGATATATAAATATGATGACATACTAGCTGTTGTTGTGGGTGGGTCTGCTCTGTGCTTGTATCTGTACAGCTGGAGTAGTCGTGTTGGGTTGTGACACTGCTGGTGCAATATTTTACAGGTTTATGATTGGCCGAGAGAAGCCAGGGGAGCAGAGTGAAGTGGCCCAGCTGATCCAGCAGACTCTGGAGCAGGAGCGGTGGCAGAGGGAGATGATGGAGCAGAGATACAAGCAGTACATGGACGAGGACGAAGAGGTACACAGGAATCCCAAAGGAACTCTATTGAGAGATAATACAGTCCATTTACACCCCCTTGTGGCCAATGATAGTATTGCAAGAATAAAGTGTTAACGTGTGTTCACTAATGTTCAATGTAACTGCAACTTTATAGCCATACCTGGAATCTCACACAGTGTGGCACTGAAAGAAAATGATAAGTTTAGTGTCATAATGTCAACTAAAAGCAATATTCGAGACCAGAAAGAGGCGAACCTGCCACCTAACAAATCTTGTATTTGATACCATATTTCTAGTTTTCCTCATTTGATAATTAATCCCCATTTGTAGGTATGACTCATATCGTTTTAAAATTTGAAACAACAAGTGTTTTCTGTGGATGTATAAATCCGATATCATCCGATTTCCCAAACTACAGTTTCTAGTTAATAACATGAGCGTATACAAAGGATATTAAAGTCCCAGCTCCCAATACGACACACTCTAATAATACAGCAGCCCTGTTCTTATCGTGTCAGAGATGCCTGCAGCGATAGCCCCACACAAACCCGACACAGTAATTTGATGTTTGATCCTTTGTTGGCAGCGGTATGTTTCTGTCAACATGGACAAGACCTAATGTGAAGGTAATTTGTTTAGTGTTGCAGAGGAGAAGCTGCAGGAGAGAGGTCGGCGGCCAGGTATTGATTGAGCTGAGCCTTTTAGCAGAGGATCTTTACCTGCCACGGCTCCATCACTTCATCTGTAATGTCATCCTCAGACTGTGGGCTTCCTCTGAGCAAACGGCCATTTAGTTCCCTTTAATATGACACATACTCAGACCTATTAATGTACATGGCTTCTTTAAGCGACTGCGTTTGGTTAACTTTGTGACGTATTATTATTATTATTACATTGAATTATCAATTCGGTTCCTATTATTATTTATATGTGAATCGCCCTAAATCAACACAGCAGTCGTCTCGGAGGACTTTACAAAGTGGTCAATTCCCCAACAACAGATCAAAGAATCAAACAGTTTGAACACAGAAATGCAATATAACAAACACATAAGAGCCACACATAGAAATGTCCATAAATGTTAATAAATGTCCTCAAATGTCGCGGGTCATCTCTCAAAAAACGGAATTATTGTATTCATTAGATTGAGCCTTGCCTTTTTAAATGTACTCTTGGGTTGTCAAAAGTAGTCATACCAAAATTATAATGAGATTAAAAATGATTGGAAAAAAGGAAAGTCACTAAATAAACAAACTAATGTCAAAACTAGTGTAAGATGTCAAGGCATTAAGGCAAACTATAGTTCTGTGTTGAGAAATGCATTCTGTTGTCCAAACCAAGCGGTGTTCAATTCATGGTGGTATTAAAATCAGAATAGAGAGTAACTAACAACATTACTAGTTTTGTCACAGCTGGAATGTAATGCCAAGCGATGTGTTTCTGCAGACAGGAGAATATGCCACAGATGAAGAGGAGGAGATGAGTCCGATGTTTCCAAACTCCATTGAAGTTTTCGACCTGGCAGAGCATGAGGCCACTCTGTCTCCTGTGGAACTGGACCCAGAAAAACTGGCTCACAAATTCAAAGAGGTATCCACAGATTTGACTCATTTCACTGTTTTTAGGTGGTGTGTGTAACAAGTATTCAAAGTAATACATACTTTTAGGGTGTTACATGTTACAATGTGTGGTCCAAATTCAGGTATTTTTTGGCTTATTGGTTTTAGTGCATAATAGTTTAAATATGAATCCGATGAGCACTAAGGACATTTAGATAATTGACCTGCATTTGTCTGCATCAATAGAAAACCAGAAACAAACAAAACAAAAAGACCCCACAGACGTGAAATGCACCTTAATATGGGACACAATCAAAACCAAAACATCAACATTTTCTATGTGTAACTTTATAAGTCAGTAATAATAATAATAATAATGCATTGGTTTTATTTTGTCCTTTTTTGGACACTCAAAGATGTCATTGTTCAGTCCCGGCAACTGCAGATGGAAATTAGTTGTGCAGCTATAATCTGGTGCAGAACATAACTCTCATTGAGCTTAATGTTGCAGTGCACTGTCATACAAAAAATGGTAATGCACAGACTCCAGATTAAAAATCTTCCGTCATCTGCAACAGCCACAATCCAAACAGCTCCTGGTCAGGGGCCCAGATTCCCCTACAAACATCTCTGCCCCTGACCTGTCACTACATTACATTTGTACTACTACTTTTCTTATCGCTAGTTAACTCTTATATCGACCAGATCCAGTGAGAAACCATAGCTTTCTCTGCCATTGAACCATTTGATTTGAAAATACAAACGCAAACCTATGTCCTCTCCTGATATCTCCTTGTTCCTGTAGCTCCAGATCAAACACGCTGTGACCCAGGCCGAGGTCCAGCTGCTCAAGAGAAAGGTGAGTGCTGATTTGAATCATCGTGTGCAGTAGAAAAAAAAAAGCACAGTGCAGCCCACACAGAGACTAACCCTGACACGGCTCCCTCGCAGCTGGCTCACGCCGAGCAGGACCGGCTGCGTTGGCGGATGGAGCGCGCTCAGTTGGAACAAAGCATCAGGGACAGCAAAGAGCGCATGGAGAAGCTGGAGGGCTACTGGATGGAGGCTCAGTCTCTGTGCAAGGTAATACAGCCCCGCAATGTTGTGTGGATGTGTGTGCTACTGATACTTAGTTAACGTGTGTTTTTTTCTCAGCTGTGCATAAACAGTTGCTCTTGTATCACATTACTTTCATATGCAATGTTGTTATATACATTTGTAGTTAAGTTACAGTTTTTGTCCTTTTGCTGAATTTGAGTTAGGGTTAAAGATGCAGTCAGTGATTTTTTCCATACACATTTTTTTTTAATATTGTGGGAAAACGTCCCAAAACCCTAAAATAAGTCAAGTTTTCATGTGTTTTCTAATAGTAATGGAATTGACCAGATTCCTATTGTCTCCAAAAATGAATAAAAAAACATTTTGGAGCGGACCTATAAAATAAACCAATGGGATTCGTTTACCCCCTTCACCCTCTTACTGTTTCTTGCGAGTGTGCGCACCTGAGTTATCGGATTTTCTAAAACCTAAAAGGGCTGAACAGAAAATGCCAATTTCACGTTTGCCACCCACTCTCCCTATTGCGACAAAGAAAAGAAAATGCTGTGTGTTTGGTTTGGTGGAGAGGCGAGGGGAGGGGGAGTGGTTTTGAGTTGGTGCTACGGCTAAGCTAACAAAATAGCTTACTGCACACCAAATATGAGGCTTTCTAATAATTACCAGTGTGCAATCATTACAAGAAGCCTATAATAACAATAAATAATACAAATTTGAAATTTCCCCACTGTGTGACAAATAAAGCTCTTTCTGTTCTTACTGTATCTTAATAATCTCAAATTTTTCATTTTCATCAATCAATCAATTTTTCTTTATAGAGCCCTTTACAGCAAACCTTGCCTGCAAGCTGAATTCTCGCGGTATTTGTGAACACTCGAGAATACATCTTGTCCCGCTCCCGCCAACCCTTTGAGTAGAACATCTAGGTGTTCAAGCCAATCATGCGCCAGTCTGGGGGTTTAGGGCGGGATATCCGGGTTTGACGAAAGCAAGAAGTGCCGGGCCGAAGCAAAACAAACATGGCTACGCAGGAGGACGGACGCGTAGCTGAGGCTATCAAGTCAGTTTTAGCAGAATCTCCTATTTCTTTTTTGAAAGATGAACAGCGAGAGGCGCTTTGTGCACGCCGATGACGACATAATGTTACCGGGATTGGTTTAAGTCAAACCTTGGTAGGCGGGCACACAGCGTCACTTCGCCCAATCAGCTTGAAGTATTCTGCTGCTTATCCCTCCTTTCCCCGAAAGGATTCTCCTGCAGAAGTCCCAGATTGATATTGTGGAGAACGCATTAGAGTTCTACACAATCATCAATCTGCCCAGGTTACTTTACAACACTCGAGGCGACCAAAGTGCTTTACAATAAAATTACATAAAATCCATTAAACATTTATGCATAAAAAAAATAAAACTTAAAAAGCATTAAAAAGTGTCACCGTGCCAATGAGTGTTAAAAGTGTTAAAAGCCTCGATTGGAAAAGACCAAAATCAGTATGTACACGCATGTCAGCTTGTTCCAGAGTCTGGGTCCAGAGATCCAATCCAATGCCAACGCTGAGGTTAGATTATTTAGGGTCCGACCAAGACCACCGCAAGAATCCTTTTACAAATAGCTTCTTAACCCAAAAGATCAGTATATTTTGTGTATGTGTGCAAGTTGACTTATCCATATGTTGTTTTCCAATTCACGCCTTTTCCTTTCTGCTGTGGTCAATATTATATCGATCAATTCACTTCAATCAATTCTCTTTATTTACAAAACGTGCAAAAAGTCATCCCCTTTACTCATTCCTATGACTTTTAAGTGCTTTGTCGAAGGAAACTGCATTAGCTTACAAGCGGATTAGTCGACAATCACCAACCATTGGATTCTTCGGCCTTTTCCGTGATGTAATTATGTCTTTCTCGTCTTCAGGCTGTGGACGAACACCTAAAGGAAACACAATCTCAGTATCAAACATTGGAGCGCAAATACAGCAAAGCCAAAAGGATGATCAAAGAGTACCAGCAGAAGTAAGTTTGGATCCAATAACATTAGTCCTCCAGCAGAACGACGTCCAATCAGCCGTGTGTGTCTGTGATTCAGGGAGAGCGAGCATCAGAAGAAAGAGTCTGAGCAGCAGGAGATGCAGGAGCAGAGCCAGACCACTCACGAGGAGGAGACCGTCAACCTCCAGGAAAAGGTTTTTATCATCACAATAATAATGTTTTAATAATTAGTTGAATAATGTGCGGCATATTTCAAGTCCTCAGAAAACACAACATGTTTAAAATCGCGTAAGGAGAAAAGATGGCAACATTTTAACGCCTTCTAAAATACCAGTTTGTGTCTTTAGTCTGCTCTTAAAAGCACACCAAAGACTCTATTTACAAGGAGCATTATGAGAGCATGCAGATTGACCGGCTTTCAGCTTTAAAATGTTATTACAATGAGATTCAGATTCAGATTCATTTTATTAGCCATGTGCAGTATAAAAACTACATTGGAAAAAAGTACTCTGTGTGCACCGACAGAATAAAAAGCACGATACAATGTAATATAAAATACACATACACTGAATATAAAAGAATAAAAAAACAGCTGACACTGTGGCACCGATCAACAAAACGATACAAGGGGTAAAAGCAGGAATTAAAGTGCTCTGTTTAGGCACCCAACAGCCTGTGGAAAGAAGCTGTTAGCATAGCGAGATGTCTTGCATCTCAGCGATCGATATCTTCTGCCAGAGGGAAGAAGCTGGAACATGGCTTTCCCAGGGTGGCCAGAAGAGTCTTTGATGATTTTAAGAGCTTTGTTTAAAAGTCTGGATTTATAAAGAACCTCCAGAACAGGAAGCTCACAGCCCACGGTCCTCTTTGCAGAGCGGAGCACCTTGTTTAAAGCTCTTTTCTTTATCTGTGATGTTTCCAAACCACACAGACACAGAACCAACCAATGATCTAATTTAGCTGTGACAAGTGTGTCTCAGCATCTTTACCAGAGCAGGATAAGGACCATTTAAATGTATGTGTTGCTTTAAAGAGTTTGGGGCCTTTTTTTCTCTTTACAAATACAATAACCTCAGTTTTATCAGGATTTAGTTTGAAAACGTTTTTCACTGATACTGTGAATACAGGAGCACTTGAATGCATAATCTGACTGTCCAGATGCATCCAGATATCAAGCTAAAAAAGTACAAGAATTTGGCGCCATCTTTACTAATTTTTGTTTAGAAATGGTTTAGAGCAAGACCAGGCGCCGAAACGTTCACATTTAGGACGGTGGAAATCAGAATCAGAATCAGAATCATTTTTATTGCCACGTAAGTAACAAACAAAAGTTACCACTTGGAAATTGTTTCAGAACAGAGTTTAATTTGTAAACCACTTCCCTGAGAGTTTTAGTATCAGTTGAGCTAAAACGAGACAAGCTGCAGGTCATATTGCCCTCGAGAGATTCACAATCATTAAGTTTTTACTTGGTTTCACGCTGTCACACAGAGCCGGTCATAACAATCCCCTAATGCAAAGTTTTATTGTTTGAGAAATAGCTAAACATTCTTCATCTACGTAAATAGCAATCCACTTTTTAATCACCCATGTTGAAACTACAGCTGCATTTTTACACACACGCACTTTTGCCGATGTCAGGTTTATTTGTATAGGACATTTACAACAACACCTGCTGCCCAAAGTGCTTCACAGGCACAAAAGCAAACAGCATTCAATTCATGTAAAAGATAAAACTCAGTTGGTGTTAAAATCCAAGGCATAAGAATGTGTTTATAGACGAGATTTAAAAAAAACTCAAATGTAGGAGCTGCGTTAATGAACAGAGGTGAATTATTCCACAGTTTGGGGGCAGCAACAGCAAAGGCCCGGTCTGCTCGAGTTTTTAGACGAGACCTGGGCACGTGGTTTTCTGACCTCACTGATCTGACAGATATGCTGCGGCCAAACCTTTAAAAACAAGTATCAGAATCTTAAAATTAAACCTGAACGTGACGAGGAGACAGTGAGAGTTTTGTTATCTCAAAATACTGAACCATTTCCTGCTGCTCTTTCTTCCCTCAGATAAGTGACTTGGAGACCAAAGTGGATGCCCTGAAGACTCCAAACTCCTCCTAGGATGTGTTTTCAGTCCACAACCGAGGAAGAACCGCTGCCTTTATTTTAGTTTGTCTGCTGCAACCAATCCAGTATCTCGCTGGGAGACAGACCACAACTACAGCTTAAAAATCCCCCCCCTTCCCCCAAAAAACACTCAGTATCCCACAATTCATCTCCCTCCCACAAGATTCAACGTGTGTGTCTTCCTGGCAACGTGCTCGGCAATCAACATCGACATGGAATTTAAGAGTATTTTATTCTTGGACTTTTTCACAGCATGTTTAAGCAGGGATCCTACTATGACTTCTGGCTCGTCACTAAGTGCATTACAGAAGGACAGGCTGGAGAGCTGGGTCGGATTGCTGTTGCCATAGATTTTTTTTGGGAAATGGCTGCCATGTTTTTACAGACAAATGAGGCGGCCCCGAGCAAATCCAGGGACTTAAACTTTCTTAGGTCTGAATCCAGCCTAAACTAAAGCAATGGGACGTGTATTGAAAAACATGGCGGGGTGTTTCTTTGTACATATTCTGTGTATTTAAAGCATTTAGGTGGGTAGGACAGTAGGACACAACAGGAACTCATCTCTGGACATCAATGGCAAACAGGGTGTGACTTCTACGGTGTATATCTAACTTATGTTTACTGAATGAATTGTGTTTTTACATGCGCAAGAAACCCCACCGATGCTGTGAAGAAAATGGGTCTTAAAATTGGAACGCGATTTGAAAACGTTCATGCAGTGTGTGTTTTGTGCTTGTAAACACACAATTCTAACTCCTGAACTAGTGCGGTGGTTCTCAACCTGGGTGAATGTCCCCAGGCGAGATGGGGAGACTTTGATGGTGTTATACAATAGCCTTAAACGAGGCTTTGACATCATCAGGGTAGATTTGTTGGGAGTCGCAGCTGAAAAAAGGTTGAGGACCACTGGAGTAGCAGGCGGTCCCAGTGCAGTGTTATGGAAATATAAAGTTAGCGCTTGGTGTGCAGATACGACCAAATGTTTATCGCTGAGTATGTCAATGTTGACTCTGTTTTCTCACGCATTTCTTCCACTAGTGAAATACTGCAGTTTGATTTGGAAAAGGACAGAGCCGTGTGATTCAAATCTCATATTTGCATGTGGTGCTGAGTAGAGCAGTGCACTGAAATGTAGAACTAGAACTTATGTATGCATCTCCACAAAAGATATCTTCTGATTTTAACTTTTCTGCAAACGGCTTGCTGGACAAGCTACGACTGGATCCCACTGAAAACATGTCCAATCACCACAAACACCACAAACACTTAAAGGTGCTGTGGTGTAGTTTTCTGATCGGAATGCTTTACTGACAGCAATTGGCAGAACTGCTGACTTCAAAAGAATAAAGCTTATTCCATCACTCTACACAGCGCAAAAACTTTCTGTTAGAGACTGAAACAGTATTCCGTGAGCACTGTCTGTTTCTCTTGTGACGCCCCCAAACCTTGTATATATGCATTTTCTGTCATTAGTAGTACCCAAATGTGTGGCCATACCAGTTTGATGAAAACAGTATTGATTATGAATTGTATGCATTGAGCTCAAGGTAAAAGTTTGTTTTGCCTTAAAGCCTTGACACTGATCTCCATTCATCACAGTCTCACGTGCAATTTATTAATATATCAAAAATAAAAACATTTGTAGGATTTTTAATGATTTGTAATGAACGATAAAACTGATTTGAAAGTGTAGTTCAATTAGTGGTATTCATATGTATTTATATTTATTGAATATTGACACAGTATTATAATATTGGGAGAATGTTTGCAAATAGGAGAAACCATAACTCAAAATGCCGCTGCTTCGTGTAGAATAAGGTTTTTTAGGGACACACAATGAGCCATAATACACACACACAGACATTCACGAGAGAAGGCTGTAGAATTGTGTTTTGGCACGTTCCGATGTGAAACCGTGTCTCTCCTTGCTCTGCTGTCTCTCCACTCTTAAAAGGATTGTAGCACTGACTGTAGATGGATATTATGCCTTTCAAATCCCCAATAAGCCATTGCATTGTGTTCAACATGACCATTTTTGTCACTTCCTTTGGCTTTAAATAGTCCTCACTCTAAAATGTGCGGTTATGTGAATTGTTGGTATCTCTTGAGCAGGCGAATGGGTCTAGTGCCTTGTCTTGGTAATAGTCATTAAATCAAGTGAGAATTTTATTTTGCTATGTGTTGTTCCATATCTTCAAATCACACAAATATCAGATTCGTGCTCTGATTCAGTTTTGGTGAATGATTTATGACCTAAAATGCTTATAACTTCATTTTCTTTAATAAAGTGGCTGCTCAGTGTACAACAGAACAAATGGGGAAATCGTCATAGCAACCTAGAGAGGGACAATCTTTTTCTCAAAACTCACACATCCTCCTGCTGATGCCATCATGTTTGTCTCAACAATCGTGTCCAAATTAATAAAGAAATGAATGAAATATTTGTGTGGCTCCTATTTCACAGAATAAAAACTAGACTCAGAATGTTCAAGTTTCGCACTATTGCTCTTTAATATTAATCTTCAGTGCTCAAAATAAATAAAAAAAACATTTGGGACACCTGATACAGTGACAAAGACCTGCTTCCGTCAAATATTGCCTGTCAAAAATAAGTAAGTAACGCCAAAGTTCTTCATTTGGTAGCTCATTAGGACTGCAAGAGAATATGGTCACTCATTGGGAAGCCATGGAGAGAAAAAGAAAAGAAAATGGCACAAAACGAAATGATTGACTAAATTCCAGTTTCGCACAGAATGCTTGAGCAGCTACGCACTATGGCAAACACGCTTATGGCCAACTCATAAATACGCAATAATAATAATGTTCTAAAAGCCATAAACGACATGGAATATGAAAGAAATGGTCTAGCATAAGAGTTGCAGAGCATTTTAGTAAGTTAAAATGGTTATAAAACACCAATTGGTATTCTGAAACCAGCGAAAATGTTGAATGTAATTATACTATATGTCAACACACAAAACAGTTTCTTTAAAAAATAAAACGAAAAAAAAAAGAATGACCCACATATTTCTGTGATAAGATGAAAAGTGACCACACTGTATCAAAGTGAAGGCGTGTTCTGGAGGTTTTTGTCCAAGGCACTGACGCACCGCGGTACATACAAGTCACAATATTAAAACGACACATTCAACGATAGGAGATGAGTTTTAGTAACAGAGGTAACGAGGGCAGTCATTGGCTCTCACTGACGACAAAAAAAAAAAACTAGGATTAAACCTGTGCCCGTTTCAGTCAGTGTTAAAGTCTGTGATGTTGGCGACTACGACGTGAGCAGTGGCGTTTGGGGTTTGTTTTTTTTTCTCTGAGGGTTTGAGGGGCGTTTCAGTCGTCCACGCCGATGTTGCGGAACAGGTAGGACATGGACTCTCCGTTGTGGATGCGGCGAATGGCCTCGGACAGGATCATGCTGATGTCCACCGTCTTGATCTTTGGACACTGGAGTTTCTGCAGCTCGTGAGGGATCGTGTTCGTCACCACCACCTGCAACGGCAACAAGAGCAGACAGTATAAAAATAAAATTCAATTCCCAATTATGAAGTATTTGTAAAATACCGATCAAACAACATTAAAGCTGGGGTACTGAGGTTTGAGTCAATAAAACATTTGGGTTGTTCCAAGAGAAAGTTTTGTAAACGTAATTAGGGGTGGGATTAAATAAGTGTAGAATAGTATTATTACTCTTTTTGTTATATTTTGTAAATGTACCTAAGTTGCTTTTGATTAATTTGTACCAATTATTTCTATGTCCACTTACTTGCTCGAAATAAACAGTAACATGTGAACAAATCTGCATGGCGCCGGATAAAAATGACGTCGTGGAAAGAGCTCTGGTGTGTACTATCCTGGTGCACACTGGGTCTCGCACAGTTTTTCCAATGTGGTTTTACTGCAAATGGCAAATAAATTCTTGCATCTTGTTGTGTAATCATAGGATGGAGGAGCACACACATAAAGTTGTACTATACTCAATCTTGTGCTGTGTGCTCCTCATTCCAACTATTCTGTAACTTGAGATGCAACACTGACATTTCCCCACTGTCGAACAAATAAAGGATCTCTTCATCTTAAATCATGCAAAAAATGAAGAAAACAGCAAGAGCCCAGTGAGTCTGACACTTTGGGAGAGAGCTGATTGGCTGAGAAAGAGTGGTGCTCTCCATTTCACTTTTGGAGAGCACAAGTGAAAAAGCTGATCTAAAAAGATGTGACGGGGCCAAAGCAACAAACATGTGAAAATTAGTGATAAAACCCAAACTGTTTTCAGAGCAAAAAACGAGTTATTGATTTTATGGCATTCCGTTGTTTTTGCAGTTTGAAAGTTAGATACCTCAGCTTTAGCATCAATCAATAAAATTTGTAGAGCACATTTAAAAACAGCCTTGTGTTGTACAGACAGTGAAAAAAAACACATAAAAATACAGAAATAAACAAAAATAAAAACCGAAAATGGTCTCCTTCTACCTGTATTAAAAGCCAAAGAGAAAAGTCGCGTCTTTAAAGTGCTCAAGTGCAAAGGTACAGAGAGCATAAACAGACCTCATCGATGGCGGACTCCTCGATGAAGCGCGGCGCCTCGGAGGACAGCAGACCGTGCGTGGCCATGATGTAGATTTTATAAGCTCCTCGTTCCTTCAAAGTCTCGGCCGCTGCCACGAAACTGTCCACGTCGTCGATGATGTCGTCCTGGAGAACAGACGTGTGGTTTAGACGCTCTCTCCAAGTCCAATCGTATCACACAAACAAAAAGCACGGCCCGCATCCTCACCACTATGATGGCGATCCGTCCTCCTACGTCCCCCACCACGGTGATGGGAGGCTTCTCTTTGGGGATTAGCACTAGAACACACACGGCGGGTTCATTTAACACAGGAGAGAGACCTCTTTCCCAGAGACAAATGCCAAAAATAAGAAACATTTATATATTCTATTTGTATAGGCTGAAGTATGTTAGTCTGCTTTGTAGTAGTAGTAGTAATATATTTGGAGCATTTTTACAGGTACATGAAACAAAATGGGGAAATCTGATCGTCTCTGCTTAGACTGCTGCCCATCCATCCATCCCTCAAGTGGAAGACATTTGAGGGATGGATGAAACAAAGCTCAAAAGGAGAAGGCAGAGACAAAAAGCTTATACGTGCCTTCCAAACTATAAATACTACATTTAAAGCTGCATTACCTCACTTTATTTTTGTATTCATTACAAAAATTCAATCCATATCCATGCAATGCATTGGGATATATGTCCTTTTGAAGAAAAAGTAGTGCAGATTTGTGCTGGCGTGTCATTTTATTTTAGATTGAGTTTTTGTGAGAATGTGTTTCTTGAGAAAAGCTACAGGTTCTTCTTAGCACAGACAGCTGAGGTAAACAAGCATCATGGCAGAGGCAAACCTGAAACTTGCCGTGTCTACATTACTGCTTACACAGCGAAACATCCATCTAAAAGAAAGTCTCGTTCCTCCGTGCTTCCGCTGCTTGAGATGTGAGATGTGGGGGGGGGGGGCAATCCCAGCGGTCAGATTCAAAAATTTCTCAAAGTCAGTTAGTGCAGCTTTAAGCAAAACAGATCAGATTTTCACAAAACTTTGCAATTGTCCTCAACTTAAAGCATTATGACGCCCTGTGGTTGAGCTGGGAGATGGGAACCAGGGAAGAGACTGGACAAGACGGATTTACTGATGTATTCAACTGTCCCTGTACAAATATGTTTTACTAATAGCTATTTGAAAACACCAAGCGATAAGTGTTGGTAGTTTTGTAGCCCAGTCTTACGTGGGATGTCCATGCTGGGGTGGATAGCTCCAGTGGGTTTGACGGTGGGAGGAGAGTGCCGGCCGTCCACCTGGTCCGACTCTGCATCCTGGGCCTCTCCATGGATCACAGCGAGTCCCAAACGCAGACGCTCAGCAAAGGATTGTGCCCTGGGTTAGTGGTTATAAAAAAAAAAAAGAGGATAAACATAATAAAAACCATAAATGCAAACCTCACAATTCTGGAGATTATTTGTAGATTACCTTTGAGAATTTCATAAAGAAAGCAAACTATTCACTAGGGGTGGCAACCTAAGGGTACCTCACGATACGATACACGATACAAAGCTCACAATAACGATTTGATCACAATATGACGGTTAACGATATATTGGTCAGAAATATACCATATGCCAATTTATGGCATAAATAAAAGAAAAATGTTAAGTGGAAAAATACACTTTATTTCATGATAAATGGAATGGAGATGCGTAATGTAGTCATATATTAAGTATTAGTACTAATTGAAAAAAAAAACAATTTTTTTCAAAATCGATATAGATACTTGGCAAATGCATATCGATAATCAAATCGATATATCGATATCACGATATATCGTCACACCCCTACTATTTACTGTGTGTGCGGTTTTAACTCATGATTCAAATGAGCGTGTAAGTGCTTATCCACTAGAGCAGAGGTGTCAAACTCATTTTGGTCACGTCTGGATAAAAAAAAATAAAAAAACGAGGAACTGGTTGGGGGCCAAAAGAATCGAAGGGGATTCTTTTTCCTTACAATCATTTTTTACATTGTTTTACAAGCTATTTTGACATGAGTTTCACTATTATTGTCTGAAATCAAAATGTGTTTATTGTTCAGATTTAACCAAAACGGGACCAAATATGAAGTTAAGGTTTTATATATAACTTAATTTACCTATTTAATTTTAGCCGCTTTCTTGAGAACATATTATGTACGGTATAACATGCCTTGGTATTCCATAACAATCAATGCTGTAATAGTAAAAATCATTTCAGGGGCCACTAAAGGTTCGACATACCTGCACTAGAGGTGGACCAATAATATTGAATGAAAAAACTTAAGTACTAAAATAGCATGATATAAATAGCTAAAAAGAGTTGTTCCACATGTACATTTGACTTCTGTGGCAGATTGAGCATTAGGTGTGACAAAGGCAGCAGTGACCCTGAGAGCACAGACACATTGGAATGCCGCTCTATAAAAGCCCTACAGAGCAGTAGAGCCTGCTAACGTGCATACCTTTTGGCAGAAGCGGGGGATTTGGCCACGATCACTGCGTTTCTATAGTCAGGAATCTGCGGAGGACAGAAGCAGTAACGGTGAGACGAGCCGGAACAAACGGCCTCCGTGTGTGTCGTGTGTGGACGAGAAGAGAGTACCTCCTCCTGGATGTACTGCAGCAGGAACGGTGACGCTCGCAGATTGTCCACTGGAATGTTGAAGAAGCCCTGGATTTCCTTCTGATGGAGGTCCATGGTGATCAGGTGGGTCAGACCTTCACCGGACGATAAGAAAACAGATGTCAGTGCTACTCCAGAAGGAAAGAACATAAGATTACATGAACACAAGGGGTTTAGAGTAAGATTAAGAGATCCTTTATTTGTCTGACTGCGAGGAAATGTCAGTGTTGCATTACAAGTTAAAAACAGTAGGAATGAGGAGCACACAGCACAAGATAAATTAATAATAACTCTACACTAAAATAAAATCTCCATCTGCAGCATAATAAGGGAAATAAGTCTAAAAGTCTATTTTCTTTCTATTTTATACTGTAAATGTGTACATATTCAGAGATATGTATATTCCTGAGTTCTATCCAGATTATTCTATTCTCACAAATATCATCTTAACATTATTCTTATTTTTAGATTAGTTTTAAAAAATTTATTGTGAAATACTATGCAAGCTACTGTGACGACGCAATTTCCCTAGTGGATCAATAAAGTCTAAGTCTAAAATCTCCAGCTTTAGCATGATGAAGCAGCAAGACTTGAGTACAAAAACCCCTGATGGTCTGAACCAAGCGGATCAGGCAAAAATCCACTGGAGGAATGCTAACTTTGAAAAAAATCCTAACAAAGGATTCAGCATCTTACTTTAGACTAGAGCAGAGAAATTAATCCAAACCAAGCGGCTACACCACCTCTGCTGCTGTGACCTTAAGTGCTGTTGCATTTTAATACTATAGTTAGCAACTTTTAGAATTATCCATTTATTTATTTTGTTTGTATGAATGCATTTTTTTCTGCTGCTACTGGACACCTGATTTTATCCAACGGGAGATCAAGTAAGTATCTATCTATCTATATAATGAGGAGCCAGTCACCTGCTTTACACATCATGGAGGCGATGAGCTTGGACACGATGGAGCCCCTCTTTCTCATCTTGCACTGCTTACTGTAGGGGAAATAGGGCAGCACTCCGGTGATGCTGCGGGCACAGGACGTCCGGCACGCGTACACCGTGATCAGCATCTCCATGATGGTGGTGTTCACATCCCTGACGCAAAAAACATGAAAGCAAATCACTCACAAAATGCACTTTATCAATGAGAGGACCTACACCAATTTAATTCAGATATTTTTATTGACAAAACTTCATAGTCATACACATTAAAAATAAAGAGATGGGATAAAATGGAGAAATTTGCTGTGGGATACAGTGCTACACAGACCTGCATGAATGAATCAAAATTAAAATAAAAGAAGAATATTACAGAGAAAAACAGAGGCAGAAGTGCAGTAGTACTTTGAAGTCTCGGTTTGGTCCAGTTCTGCATCAAAATAAGTAATAGGTCCAGGATAAAAAACTGAAATAGTTCATTATTAGTTAACTGTTACTCTGTCAGACCCAACCTGATGGTCGCCCTGTTTAGCTCCTGACACCGTTATTTAAAATCAGTTAAACTAAAAAAAAAAAAGGTTTTGCTCATAAATGACTAGTTCTGTCTGGACCTAACCCAATATCCGTTGTGGTGGAATGACAAAATACAAACAAACATAAATTACAAGTTTCTACCAACTGTTTTGTCAGTGTCTTATTCTAAAATTGCCCTTTGCTCATTTGAACTGCTTTTGTTGTGTGCACTTACTTGGACACCGTTTGGATCACAAATACATCTTTGCCTCGCACAGACTCCTGGATCTGGACCCGAGTCTCTATGGAAATAAACAAACACGAGCGGATAAGAAAGTGTGAGAACGCAGCTCATCTCTACAGAACAAAAGGCTCAGAGCGGCACTGGGCCCGTTTTGTCTCTCGGGCCTCCAGACTGAGACAAAAGTGACGGCAGCTTTTCCACAAAAACCCTCCCACTACGTAAAAATGGACATAAACGCCCAGAGGTTAAGTCACAGGATCAGCTAATGTTATCACAGATGGTGTCTCCAAGCCACACATACTAATGCTCTATTCACAAAAGACAATCTACTTTATTTTAGACCTCAGGTGTTCTAGTGAAACAACGGTTTCAGAGCACCTCACCTCTGTTGGCCTCCTGGTAGACCTGCACCTTGCCCAGTTCCACCCCTAACCGCCTGAGGAGAGGACATACGGTTAGCTCCAATCACAGCAACCAAACACACCATCGTTACTAAATGCAGTGCAGCAAAGACTTGACAAATCTTTTATCATTAAAACACTTAAGTCATTAGAGCGTCTCAGAATTGAACTTTGAAAATGTTTAGAAATTCAGACTCTTTGGGTGATGTTCAAGTTTAAAGGTTTTACAAACACTTGCTCCAAAGTGATCTGTGATAATGTATGCTTTAGACGGCTGTGCAATGTGCATACATGCAAATATAATAAAAAATAAACTTATGGTCTAACTGATGGCTTGGCTTTGCCCTCTTTGTTCAACAGGAAATACATGTAAATTAGAGTGTAATCTCTGGAGCCACTGTTGTGCCATAAACATGAACATAACAAGCACAGCGAGAGTGTAGTGTGGTCTACAAACCATGGGTACTCTTTAAACCAGGTACATTTCCTAATATTGTATAAGCCGCAAAGAACAAGCAAATGTAAAAGACAGAACTTTTGAGTCATGATGCAAATGTGTGAAAAGCGATTCCTTGCAGCAACCTGACTGATGTGAAAGCTCAGAGGATCAGCCTGAACAGCCCATGTATTTTTCAGACACATTCTTGGTATACTGAGGCTGCAATCACACACAACCAGCCCCTTCGTCCTTCCAGGTCTGTGTGGGAGAGGGGAGAGGTACTCACTCGGATATCCTCTTGCCCAGTTCACGGCTCGACGGGTGCGAGTTGGCTGTGAAGATGACCAAGCCTCCCTTTGTGTGGTTCATGTCTGCGGGGTGACGGCCGCTGCTGATCTCCCCACACTCAGGCAGTGGATCCCTGGGCACCCACGCTGCGCTGAGCCCTTCCTACAGCCCCAAGAGAGGGAGAGACGTGACAACTCACACCGAGCACTCAATGGAAACAGGAACCAATATTAACACTTTAGCTGCACTTAGCCTACTGCAGTGAGAGTTATCACTATAGCCATGTGCTGTTATTACCATTCACAACAAACAAACAAAACAATGTAAAAGGGGTCAACTATGTGCTTAAAATGGCATTCGAATTTTAAGTAAAATAAATGAGGGAAGTAATGGCTGCAAGCTAAATCAAAATTCCTTTAGTGGCGAAGTGTCAACACTTTAGATATTGGAAGAAAAAATAATTAAACTATAATGAACTAATTTTGCTACCACAATGATAACTTATAAAATGCTCTTATTGGACAATTAAATACATTTCTAACTCACAATCATTACTTTTGAATGGGCCCCAATGTTGTATAACATTTCTTGCAATATTACATACACTTGGTCAAATTAGTGTGCCGTTTAGATAGTAGTTTTTAGTATTAGCCAATGTTGACAACGCTCATGATTATAACATAATAAAATAGCTCCAACTAATTGAAAGACATAACATTGGATTTGGATCCATAACTTAAAGTCAGAGCACTATATAGTGCATCTGTAATAGACAGGACGTAATCATAATTACATTAGTTCCAGAATGAAGCATATCTCGTGCAGCAGTCACGACATTAGCTTCTTGTGTTGCTAAGCTAGTCGCACAGCACATGACTGTCGTGTTATCTGCAAACATAGCCAGTAAACATTCAGTGAAAGCCTGGCTGTTGTTTTGGAGAGTTTAAAATAGGTAATAAAGTATATGAGCTACATTTGACAGAAGAATCCCCAAGGTTTAGACAGCAGTGATTGTTGATTTAATAACATTGGATAGCTGTAGCTAACGGGACTAACGCATGTAGACAGCAGGCGCATGCAAGCCCAGACAAAGCTCTCGATCTGCCGACGCACGCCGCAGGGGAAAGAAAACCATCAAACTCTTGTAACTGACACCAGAGTAGTGGTACCAGCTACAGGGTTTACGAGAAGATAAAGGCACTTACCAGTTTGCTGCAGGTTCGTTTTTAACCTGCACTGTGGTAATTTGTGTCTCCTCCAGCGCTTTCAACCTGTTCCCTGTCTGAGGCTGTGGGCGGGGCTACACTTGATTGATGTATAGATCGACCACTCATGTCGAAGAGCAGGGGCATGGGCGGGCTTAAGGGAGGAAAACTCAAAACAAAAAACAAACAAATAAATAAGCGAAAAACACGCAAATGCATGCAGTTGTTCAGTTTTTGAATAAATAACCTATGAATGAAAATGTAAACTATACATACAAATATGAGGGTAAAGAGCTTTTTACCTTTTTATGCCACCTGTTTTACTGTTGTTGATATTTTTAATCCTAAAAGTGTCTATTTCCAGAATCTGCCAGGTACGTGAAATAATGTCCCTAAGGCTTAATTTTTTTGGACACAACTTTTCACTTTTAACTCCCATCACTTTTGAATAATGTGATGTCCCTACAGAGACACACGTTACTACAAAATACTGACCCAAGAAATTTAGTATTGGTTGATTTTCACAATTGACAAACTGGATTTATTTTAAGAAAACCAACTGTTCTTCATTTATCATTTAAATTGTCAATTTCACCAGTGTGTTATGCATGACAGGAGTTCAGGAAAAGTTTAATTTGGCATTTGACAATTTTCTTTTGAAAAGTGAAAGATACATACAACAAAATGGCCCAAAGAAAAAATAAAACTCAATATTTCCAGCTGAGATCCTCCAATTATTGCACTTTAGCGTCAAAGTCAAAAAAAAAAAAAAAAAAAGTATGGTAGGTCCAACCCATTTTTGAGAATTTGACTCCAGTCTAGGAACACAAGGCTATGTCTGTTTACATCAAAGTTAGGCTATTTTAAACAAAATATTCATTATTTAGGGGTTTGGTTAAAAAATAAAGAATATACACAATACACAATACAATTTATTCTTGTATAGCCCTAGGTCACAACAGAAGTCATTTCAGAGGACTTAACAAAACCATTGAAATCACCAACACAGGTCAGAGAATCAACAGTTAAAACACATGAAGAATAATATAAAGCACACACAGAAGAAAATGTCCATACATGTTGTAGAATGCTAAAGTGTCCTGATCATCACCAATCCTTTCTGTTGGACACTAACTGTCCAACAAGACCCTCCTGCATCGACAAGGAAAAACTCTTAAAAAACCCAGTGGGAAAAAGTGAGAAACCTTGGGGAGCACTAGGGAAACCCACAGGGAGGGAGACCCATATGAGAAAGGGATCCGCTCCTCTGGACGGACAGGCTGATGATCCAGGACCTAAGCTAGCTACAGAACGTGGACCAGTGGACGCTGAACGTGGACAGGTCCGGTGCAGGACCGAAGCACTCCCAGGCGGGTCGGGCGGGGCAGTCCGCAGGTGTAGATATCAGGTGTAATATGATTATTACAGGTTCATGCGCAATATAATGTTGAAATTGGCACTTGAAATATAACGGCAGGTCAATTAGTGAAGAAAATACACTTTGTTGGTTTTGTCCAAAATGCTAGATCAAATGTTTCTTGGGTCAATATTGTGACAGTTTGTAATGTGTTGTGTAATGTCTTCATTTCAAATGAAGCATATGGGACATAATTTCATTCTAAAAAAGACAGATGGCATAACAACCAGGGCGGTACACATGAACCCCTCATTCCATCAGGACTATTTTTTCACAATGACCTGATGTTAAGCCCTTTTTCTCTAATTTCTTTACAAAATAAAACAAGCTATTTTTAGTGAGGTTTGGAGCGTTGTTGCTGTTGAGGTGCAGCATGGCCACAAGAGGTCAGTGTTGCTAACTGTACCGCAGATGCGTTGGTCTGGATGGTTCTATGGTTCTAAACAAAATAACAACATTACATCAACATAACTAAACATATACAATAAACAAAAATACATTTAAAATGGACAGTGTATTAATACTCATTCATCTAACGGAGACTTACAATTATAAACCTATGGACCATATGTTGGTGATGGATCCTTGACCACACAAGGAACATGCTTTACTTTGTCTCGCCTGATGAGGGTTTCTCATGTGCAGCAGACTACTGTTTTCTCAAGCTCACGACCAGAGAATACCCGAGAAACAATGAGACATTTAAACAGATTCATTTGTATCTTAGTGCCATATGGGCCCCTCTTTAGTGTTCTTACATAACTGATGTGGAGGAGGACAGAATCCAGCACTGCACTGCCCACACATGGACAAGTGATACTGCAGCGAAACGTCAAGAACCGCCACGATGGTCCGAGCACACAATTCTGAATAAAAGTAGAAACTCCTCACATTTAATTGGAGAAGTGCAACTTGGCTCAACTCAGTGGAGAGTAGACCATATACATTATATCATTATGAATGTAGTAAGAGTACTGTACAGGCAATAAGCTTGATCAGTGGCAAAATTCTGAGATTCAGGTTTAATATTGGTTTTACAGGCTTATTTGTAGCATGTATAACCTTCAGATGATAGGTTACACTAGGTACATCAGTACATTGTCAGGTGTATGTCGTCTCCAAAGCAGCGCATTGTCCACACAATCACACGTGACCGCAGAGTGTTGCACTTGGAGCAGAGATGCTCTCACACCTTGGAGTGAGCAGCTCCATGGAAACCGCGGGAGGAGAGGGGCGGGGTTAGCTCAGGGCACGCCCCCGGCTGCAGTACGGGCGCGAGCAGCTGGAGGGCGCGCGCTTGTGCACGTGCACCATCATAGTGCGCGCGCCCGCCCCACGCGGACACTGATGAGCAGCACATCCCGAGCGTCGGTGAGCAGCGCACGCGGAGATGGCTGCAGCTGGATGTGTTTACGACGCAGAGCCGCCCTCTGAAGCCCGCTCTGGACTGGACTAAAGCAGGTCAGCACGAGGTCTAGATCAGGACCAAAGCAGGACTACATCATTGCTCCACTTGGCGCGGGTCTAGCTGTGGTGAGCCGCTGCTGCAGCGGTGTCGCGCAAAGGAGCGTCTATAGTCCCCGAGCGAAACCGGAGCGCACCCATTCCAACCGCGTATTGCCCTGTCTCATGCCAGCAGCCTCCAGCGCGGACTAACAGCCACCACACACACGGGGCTATAGGAGGCGACTGTGGTGGGGCGGGCGCACCCTCCAGAGGCCGGAGCCGCGCTACAGGCGGAGGATGCTGCGAGAGTAGAGCGGCTCTGAGCGGAGAGGACCATGGGGAAGGACCAGGAATTGCTGCAAGCGGTGAAGACCGAGGACCTGCTCACAGTGCAGAAGCTGCTGCAGAGGCCTCGGCCCGGGAAAGCAAGTAAGAACGCACCCTAAGTGTATCCATCTGAGGCTATGGCAGAGATGATACTCGGAGCAGGCCTGGTGAATGTGAGATGGAGACGTGATGGAGCAAAGGGGAGGGCGGGTCACAGATTGAGGCGATTGGAGATTGACAAACCGTAGATCCCAATGCCCAGTGCACTGCAGCAGATGCAGGTTCGACCCTCCTTTGGGTTACTCAGAGTGTGTGGGTATGGGTCGACGTTCATGGCGTGTTTCATTTCCACAGCCCACTCCAGTGTGTGGGTAGAAGCGCAGAGAGAGCCGTGTGCGGCAGCCTGGCTCCCCTCGTTTTGTGAGGGTCTGTTCTCGTCCAAATTACTGCTATGGTGATCAGCATTCTTTTACATGTTTTCAGTTTGTGTAAGAGGAAAAAGTGGGCGACTTCTTTTGATGAAATCACATACAACTTAATTTGCATCATTGAGCCAATCACCTGTTGCCAAACCTGTGTAATTGACAGTGACAGCTGCCTCACCTGCGCTATCACAGATTTCTCCTCCTGATTCATAAATATATAATCCTTTACAACGGAGTAATAACTGCAGAGGTTGCCAGTTGTGTATTCTCAGACCATTGCATCATCTACAAGCAGCCATACAATACACGTTCAGATATATCTTGTGATGTAAATCCATCCACACATTTGTCCTCTGAATATCCTTCAAAGCCCCACTTGCAACCTGTTGGAGAAGTCAGGACCATTTTCCAGACAATAAACAAGATGGCCAGGAGCTCAGATGGAAAATTACCCTTCAAGATATAGGTTGGGGGGAAAAGAGCGATAGAGAGATCCAGCCTGAGATGTCCCCATGGCCTGACAGTCAAAATAAAATGTAAAAGTTAAAACTAATCATTGATTCTTGTGTCAACAATAAACATACACTGTTTTAGTTTATTGACAGCGACATGGAAGTTACCTATTTACATGTTTTGCATCTTGTTTCTTGTTTCCAAGTGGAGCACAAAAATCCAGTCTGCAGAACCCATACAGGAAACTCCTTGGATTAAAGCTTGTCTGCTTCTGTGGCCTGCTGCTTATGAAATACTACAGTCATAAAAGTGCGTTCAGCCAGGTGGGGTCAAAAATAGTCTCCTACAACCCACTGGGGAACATTATGTAGAGCAGTAAGAGCCCATAGTTGGTGATGTAGAGGGTTAGGCTGCGTAAATCTGTGCAAAATCTCCGCTTGCTCATTTATAAGACAGCGGACCGTAGCCGTTAGCAGTAAATAACAGTCTTGGTTGTGGTAGAATACACAAAATGATGATCATAGCAATAATTGATGATGCTATTCTATGTCCTCGCATCAACTTCACCGTATGTGTCCCTGGGCAATGTGTCTTATTACTGATTATGAATGAAAAGAAGAGCCTTATCTTAAAGATGCGTTGTGTATCCTCTCTGGCTGGGTCTGCTACCCGCTGGTTGCCATGGAAATGCTTTCTTGGAATGCTCAGATTTTACTGATCAAAAATATTTTTTTAGGTTGACTCTGTATTATCTCAAATACCCATAACTGCAAAAAATGTTCACACTCTTGCAAAATGGAGGGCAAGGAAATATTTATAAACGTTCTTCCTGTGTTAAAATAATGTATTACTTTGCTGTTTTGTTTTGTAACTTGTAACTTGTGCTCCATGTCATATAAATGATCATATAAATCCAATATAATCAATATAAAATCCAAATCCAAAGTTTCTCCTCAGATAATTGAGCCTGTGTGGGTGTTGAACCCAGGACCTTCTTGCTTAGAGGCGACAGATCTAACCACTGCACCACTGAGTTGAATTATTATCAATCATCATCGTTAATTACAGCTCTATTACACAGAAGCTGCACAGTCCACATTTAAAGGTACTGTTTATAGAGTCTTACAGATGAGAAAACTGCTGTTTGGTTTTCAGAGGTTTGTGTTTTACTAAAGCTAACTACTAGCAACCTTGTGTTTTTTGATAATAAAATGCTCCATAAATTCTGGATTTCACACTAGCTGCTTTATATCTTTATCTGAGCAATATCTATTTGACTGTATCACATGATTAAAATCAGTTTCAAGTTTGGCAGGAGATTGTCAGACTCATGGCCTCGTTTCTCTACTGGTTCTACACCTATAAATGCATTGATTTGATTTATGTGTTTAAATAGGTTTTCTAATGTCGATATAATCACTCAGGGATCGTCTCTGGGACAGTTTATGGCTGTGCTCGCTCAGAGACACATCCGGTCCAGTTTGAGTGTCAAAACGCTCACAATGGCCCCCCTAACTGCTGCTTTTGTCCCATTCACTTCCGTCAACAGCATTTCTCCAGGCCTTTTATCATGTTCATAATTGACAGCTCGCCCCAGCCTCATCAAGATGGCATGTTTTGCACGCTGTGTGAAATCTCAGGCCCCAACTTGGTTGACAAACAATCCAGACTCAAATTAAAAGTTTTGGAGTAGAAAAATAGAAGTGACAACAGAGAGTCTACTCAGTAAAATCTGGCCTTCATTCAATGGCCCAAAATACATAGCACGGCTGAAAAAAACTCACCCAGACAATAATCAACAAAAAGCATTCACATTTAAAGGAGCAGTATCTGGCCAAAAGTGGTCCTGCAACCTTTTCCACTCTCCCTGACTCAGGTTGCCAGATATGCAGGAAATCCAGCTGGGACCGTAATATCTGAATAGACAAGAGTTTTGCCAACAACAAATCTATAACCACCACCTTTTTCACAAAGGCCCAGATAGAATCCTTGTTTTATTCCTAGTTTTTTCATTGATGATTTGAGAATCATAACGAGACCATTTTTAGTAAGTAAGTAATCTTTAGTAATCTTTATTTATATACCGCCTTTTCACTGCAGATCTGAGTCTCAAAGCCGTTTACAATTGTTATTTTTTTGGGCACTTGTCCTCTCACTCCACACAGAGATGGGAGCGGGGCCAGTACAGGAGGCGCATGCCAGAACTATTGTACATATTTTTAGTGGTAGGGGAAACCGGAGTACCCGGAGGAAACCTACGCAGACACGGGGAGAACATGCAAACTCCACTCAGAAAGGCCCTGGTCCGACCGGGATTCGAACCCAGGACCTTCTTGCTGAGAGGCGAGAGTGCTATCCACTCAGCCACCGTGCCGCCCAGTCTTGTGGCCACATGTGTGATTAGCTCGACGCGGTGAATTTTGGCAATCCGGATCACAGACTTTCTGATCAGAAAAAGGGTGGAGGGCGTGACATCAAAATGAAAACAATAACAAGATTTAGGGGCTGTAAAACTAATTTTGGCTGAACAACTGTTATCAATGATTAATGATGACTTGACATGAAAATCTTACATATTGCTACTTTAACACAAGAAAAGCACATTCTATGGTTACTAAAAACAGATCTTGTTCAAAACTTGTCAGACAAACTGATTCATTCAATCAAGTAAATGAGAGCTCCTATTTGTGACTGATTTAATATATTCAGAACCACTGCAATCATTAAAAGTGACACTAACAAAGCACAGGGGGCGCCATAAGAACCACTTCATCTCATGATGAAGGATGGCTGCTCTATAAGTGTGAGCATAGCCTTGATCTTTCCGTGGCGGCTTCGGGCAAGGTTGGGTTAAGTGTCTTGCCCAAGGACACAACGACAGCAGACATCAGTGGGAGTCGGTGGAGAAGTTGTCGAAGTGGGATCGAACCCACGACCTCCAGGCCTAAAGGCCAATGCTCTACCAACTGAGCTACTGTCGCCCCAATCCTAATCTTAATCTTATAAATAAAACTACACATGTCCATTCCATTTGGAGATGGCAGAGAGTGGAGACAATCAGCAGTTATTGAACAGCGTTGGTCGTGACTAGAAGCATTAAACAGCGCAGTTTGTGATTAAATCTGCTTCAGGTTTGGTGTAGAGACCTGCTTCACTTTGCACTTCACACTAAGCAAAAACATGTGGCACATCTGGACCTCTGCTCGTGCGGAGAGCTGATGTTTCAACCTCATTTGACAACAGTTTTAGCTTCCACCTCTGACCATTTGTGTCGTGTGTGTGTGTGTGTATTGTTGTCTTTGTGGCTACCTCGGCTGTCAAAAAGTCGCGTCCTCCATCTCTCTTTAAAGCAGGCGTCTGTGTTGCTGCTAATCTCATGCTGTATGAATGCGTAGGAGCCGTGAGCAGGTTCAGAGTCGTGGCTTATCGTCCACTGAGGTGAATAGGATTATCATTTAACAAAACATCTTTCAGAGTCCACTAAACGATGATGATAATAACCTGTCAATTCTTCTGAGTACGTCTCACAGCCTCTTTGTTATAATGAAAACGCTCTGTGACATCACCATAGATCTACGTTTCAAGAGTCAGTCCGAACACATTTAGTTTAGATTAGGTTTCTTCTTCATTCCTGTCCTACACAAACGGATCAGACCTCACAGTGTCAAAGAGCAGAATAGTTGCAAACAGGATGTTGAGAAACTTTTAT